AGTGCAGTTGTTTATTATTGTAATCTATACTAATATTATAAAGCTGAAGAGTTTGTTTTTTGTTCGTTTGTTTAAACGCGCTAATCTCCGAAACTACTGGTCCGATTTAATGGACTGGAATGGACTATCCAACATAAAAATTATTTTTATGTTGGATAGTCCATTTATCGAGGAAGGCTATAGGCTATAAAATATCACGCTACGATTATTAGGCGCCGAGCAGAGCGAGTGAAACCGTTCGGAAGTAGCTAGTGCGACTAATAAAACTGTAAGAACAAAATATTTGTTCTAACTGTATGAACAATGTACAGAATTCTGCCTAACCCATTTAATAAAAGGTGCGATGTTATAATGTACGTTCATCAGACAGATTTGAAGTACTCAAATGTAAAGTAACGTAAACGTACAAGGACATTAAATCTACATAAACCCATGGAGTGCGTAATACGGTGATAGGGAGATACCAAAAAATACACTTAGATACGGTACAGTGGATTCAAAACCAAACGATTTAATTACCATGAATTTTACATCGAAATATTGGTAGTTTAAGTACAGTGAGACTTCTAACTTTATTGCAATATGCAGCTCAAGTATGTAAAGTGTTCGAGAGAAGCTCGACTAATTTCAGGGCATGTCAGGATTCCTCATTGGCCAAGTGTGACTACCGGGCAAGGGGTCTCGGGTTCGATTCCCGGGACGGGCAAAGTATTACTGGGTTTTTAAATCTCAGTAGTAGCACGGAGTATGAAAATGTGCCCAGTATATGGCAATAAGCTCACTGTAATAGGGGGTGACCCCTATTACATGGGACTCATAACATAAATAGTGAAAAGTGGGTGTTACATTATACAGTGGCATAATGTGCACCTCTGACTACCCCTTCGGGGATAAAAGGCGTGATTTTATGTTATGTTATGTCAGGATCCCTTTGTCATGGATTTCATGGATTTGTCATGCTCACTCTAAGATCTCATTGGCGGTGGCACGTCCATTGGATCGATTCCTTACAAAATGGTTGAGTTGGTCGGTGTTGGTGTACGTGTTCGTGAACGGGCGCCGTCAACTGGGACTGGTCAGCTCCACACTGATTTTATTGTATTTCTTTTTCAATCTCGTTGACTGGGTTGATTTAGGTGTTGCATTGTTCTCACAAAATCGAACCAACAAAACTATGTAACTGGAGAATTGTATTGTAATTCCGATTGAAAAAGAGTAATCTATGGAGTGTCTTGCTCGTTCTTCTCCATAGGAATCTACACCTTGGAATGAACAACTTCACTTCTAAAATTTTTTGTTGATGTTCAAAAGTGCCGTCTTGGTTTGACTTTGACTTTATAAATAAAAATATTCTCTTCATTCATCATGTACTGCATGCTCCATAGAATAGTTTTCATTAGTAAGTTAGCCAATCAAATCAAACATAATAATGATATATCAAAACATTGGTAATGAATACGATATATGATTTCTAGATTGATTACGAACTGATTAAAAAACCATTAGAAAATATATGAAATGAACTACAAATAGATTCGCATCGATAAACTTTTTAATAAGCAGGTTTAATAGAACACTTCAGTTTGCCCTACCCAATGAAGACAACATGAATCATGATGTTATGCTAATTTTATTATTTTACGTTTACACACGACAAATATCACATCAAAACTGACGATTTGAAGTCGCACTCACGGGGATTGCAGTAGACGACGTTATGTGTCGTTTGCATATACAGAACAAGATGGCGACCGACTCTTATGGTGAAAACTTTACGACCTTAGTTCTCCTACGTGTATAATATACATGTACAACACCATCTTGAAGCAGCTAACTGGGAAAGAAAGTAAAATTCTAAATAGATCAGGAAAAAATCCAGATGCCTGGTAATATTTTTGAATCATCAGCATCGTGTGGGTACCACCATGGGGACTTAAATAAGTAGACAGCAGTTTGTCATTAGGATTAGTGATGCAAATACTTTAATAGACATTATCTACATTGGTTTGATGTCGGTATATCTGTAAATGAGAGCATGGGTATTAAATTAATTATTACGTTTTTCGGCTTACTCACATAATTGTTTGACGAAGAACTCGACTAGTTTCAAGCCATACTAGAGGCTCATATTCATAAGCAGCATTCCGCGACCACACGGCGGTAATTATCGCGCTGCTACTCTCATTAGTATGAGCCGCGAAGGACTTAACGGGTTGCCGGGGCTCCGGCTCGAAGGGCAGGAGTAGGAACGGGGTGGTTTTTAGTCAGTAATAGTCTGACACTCCCTCCCGCCTCACTCAGACGGAAGAAGTAATTTGATGATTTTCCCCCCTTAAAAAACTGTTATTAGTATTTCTCACTATTGTCAAAGTCAAAGTCAATAATTCGAAGATGACTAGTGAAATCAAAGTTGATTTTGTAAATACAAGTACAACACTATTATATCTTAAACTACCTGTTGTCCGCGACATATATGATTCCTGTTTTATCCCTAATATATTATCACCTAAGTCAGACCATACCCTGCCTGTAAACCAAATTTCAAAAGCCATGCTTCGGCACGAATGGGCCGGCTCGACTGGAGTGATACCACGGCCTCACAGAAAACCGACGTGAAGCAACGCTTGCGTTGTGTTTCGTCGTGTGAGTGAGGTTACCGGAGGCCCAATTACCCTCCCCTTCCCCAATCTTCCCAATTCCTAAATCCCCAACGATCCTCAAACTCCTAATCCCCAAAAGGCCGGTAACGCACTTGTAACGCCTCTGGTGTTCCAGGTGTCCATGGGCGACGCCGATTACTTACCTACCATCAGGTAATCCGTCTGCTCGTTTAAAGGCTTATGCCATAAAAAAGTAGTTTCAGCGTGATTGACGGACAAATATCCAGACAAAGAAACTATGGGGTGATCTACTATACTACACTACTATCTATATAGCACGTTAGAGAAATATAACAACAATTTTAAAGAAACAAACGCAACAAGAAATAACACCATCCAACAAAAACTTCAGAACCAAGTAATCAATCATCCACAACTCCAATACAAACAGAAACAATACAACACCACACAATATTGAAACCAATACATTATTCAACAACACAAACTTTTTGACTACAACAACTTTAAAACAACAAGTATCTTATTCCTCTTAACATTCCTGAAAGGGGGGGGGGCCTAAATTGCCAAAAGCTTGTCCATTCTCACCCCATTTCGTCCCCTTAGACGAAATTTGGGGGTGAAAATGGCCATTGGACACGGTAATGGTGTGAACTTTTTGGCATATTCTTTTTTGAATGGACCTTATTTCTGGTTTTCACAATGTGAAGGAGGACATAGGTTTGTTATTTGGGACGTTTCATGTTTTTTGTTTTATTCGTTATTTTGGTTGTTTTATAGATTATCCTACTAATCCTACTTACTACTATAATATTATAAATGCGAAAGTTTGTGAGGATGTATGTGTGCGTGTGTGTGTGTATGTGTTTGTTACTAGTTCACGCAAAAACTACTCATCGGATTTAGATGGAACTTTACAGTAATGTAGGTCATACATCAGAATAACATATAGGCTATAATTTGTAATGACTTTATGTTATTTTTGGCATAATATAAGACAAAATGTGAGCCAAATCGGGCCTCTGAGACCTATATCGGAGTACGCTGCCTAAACCATTGGAGTTACACTAAGATAATGTACTGTGAGATTGTTGGTATTGATTAGTTTTAAATAAAAATCCGCGACGGCATACGTGGAAGTCACTATTCCGATTTTTAAGAACATTAATTACGATTTATCTGAAAACGGGTAACTGATAGGTAACATTACTATGGTAACCAACATGATGATTTGTGATAGTTGTTATGACGGCCTACTTCCAGAGTAAATTTTGGCATGTACAGACAAAAATGAAGCTATAGGTTTTCAAAGACTAATAGGTATTAGTATAGTATATAGGTATTAGTATAGGTAGTAGTATTCAGCTGCATCAGGGATCAGGGGGCTTACTCTTGAATCCAATTCCGATCGATCGACATTGGTATTGTGAAATTTCGTACTCTTCAGTTGCAATACTAGAGCCCATTGCATCCGTATTGCGTGGATATTGAATAAGTTAAGTGTTATTGAGTTTGTCTATATATTCCGTACTCTGAATGATATTTTAACAGCTATGATAGGGGTCGTATAGTTTTGACATTGAATATTTATTGATATTATATTGGATTGAAATTGAATTGACATTGAGATTGGTTTCAAGAGTAAGCACCCAGATGATTTGTGATTGTTGTTATGACGGCCTACTTCCATAGTAAATTTTGGCATCAACAGATAAAAATGAAACTGTGGGTTTTCAAGGACTAATATTAGTATTCAGCTGCATCATTGATCAGGGATTATAAAAAATACGAATTCAATCAATAGAATACAATTTATATTTTGTTTGTTCCTTCTTCACGTCAAAACGGATGAAGGGATTCAGATGAGATTTGGTACAGGGGTAGATTATGTTTTTAAATAACACATAGGCTACTTTATTCCACGGAAACGCGAACGAAGCCACTGGGAGAAGCTAGTGAGTCATGAGTTAGCTAGGTGTTAGTATTATGGCTTGCCTTTATCGGGGTTTTAGATCCATTACTGCATAAAACGGGGTTTGAGTAAGTATGTACCTAATGCAGTAGCCAGTAAAGTCTAGAATTGCATTTCACAGGTACAAACACAAGTCACCTTCGTTTCAAATTTTTTTAATAATCTACACGACATGTCTTCTAAATGGAAACATAATGAACACAAATAAGGTTTAATTTAATAAGTATTACAGTAACTTAGTTCAGAAATCACTGAATATTTATGAAGAAAGAAAAATTAATTTATTTTTATTAAAATCTGGGCCAAGACCAGCACTTTCTCCGTGCACCAAATAATTAAAAAACTAGGGCGTTGTGTTCACGAAAAAGCCTAATTCAATTTTGATTAAATATTTTCATTTTCTTTTGCAGAGTCGAGGATGAGGCAGCTTCGCCTGGTACAAAAACTAGGTACATATTTTGGAAATACTTTTTATTAAGTTTAGTTTTCATAAAAAGTGTTTTTTAATCTTTATCTTATCTTAATAAGAAGGGCTTTTTCCTTAGAGGAAAACGTCAAGCCTAATATAGCATACAAAAAGTTACGGTTGATAACTTGTTATCTGCCATATTCGAATAACCCATAAGATTTCGGATTCTTTGGGGTCGGGAAAGTCAAAGTCAATATCAAACCATTTAACATAACATAACATCACGCCTTTTATCCCCGATGGGGTAGGCAGAGGTGCACACAGAAGTAACACCATTTATTTCAATTATTCCTTAATTAGGCACTTTGAAACGTCAAACATTGAATTATCCGTCTGTTTGTCTGTCAGTGAAGCTAGGCTAAAATAAGTGCTAAAGGTTTTGTTTTTTACTTGATGAAGTTAATCATATTAATGAACATTAGTTGACGAACGACTGCCTCGTTGACCGAGTGGTCGCAAGTGCGACTGCTGGGCAAAGGGTCTCGGGTTCGATTCCCGGGTAGGGCAAAGTATTACTGGGTTTTAAAAAAATTCTCACTAGTAGCTCGGAGTCTGGAATTGTGCCCGGTATATGGCAATAATTACATGGGACTCATAACATAAAATAGTGAAAAGCGGGTGTTACATTGTACAGTGGCATAATGTACACCTCTGCCTACCCCTTCAGGGATAAAAGGCGTGATGTTATGTATGTATGTTGAAGAACGAAGAACGAAGACTATTTGTCTATGTCTTATTTGTTCCATTCTTTACACAATGTTTTTTTCTTTATGTTACTTTTCCATCTTTTACACATGGCATGACTTTCATCCCTTTCCAATACAAGTCTAAGTTTGGACGGTATATCAAAAACAATATTTGCAAATTGGTTCTTTTATAACCAAGTACCATTTAACTTAAAATATTCTACGTCTGGCCTTCAAATATCTGTCTGTCTAACTGTAGCAGAAAATCTAATTACAGCCTGTCTACCGCCTAGTCTTAGACTGAATTGCGTAAAAATAGAATTGAAATTTCTGAAATAGGTTCGCTACGCTAGCTGTACCTTCTTTTAATTTATTTTCTGTCAATCGTTTTACTTTGCTGTCTTACTATTATTGTGGACCATTGTCGACTATTTTAGGAACTTTGTTGAAGTTTGAAGTTCGGAGTGACTCTTAATATAAATAAATCCGTAGTAGCTATATACAGCAGAGAAGTAGATAGGTATACCTACCTATTTTTCGTCATTCCAGAATTTGTAAGTAGGTAATTATGTATATTGTAACTTTCGTGAGACATACTAAATAAATTATTATGTTTTCGGCTTACTCACGTAATAATGAATAAATGAGGAACTCGACTAGTTTCAAGCCATACTAGAGGCTCATATTCATTCACTAGTTGAGTTCCTCGTCAAATTATAACGTGAGTAACGCGAAAACATAATAATTTATTTAGGTAGGTAATTGGTTGTATTATCATCTCCGGGAGGAATACGTCCAGTTACAAGTCACCCCTTTTTTGTTTTTTTTTTTTTTGAAGGGCAAAATCATCCAATGACTTTTCCCACCCGGGTGAGGCGAGAGGGAGTCTCAGACTCTTATTGACTAAAAAGTTACTAGTCACCCTGTATGTCGCGGAGAACCTAACGGGTAATCGGGGCTCCGGCTCGACGTGCAGGAGAAGGAACGGGGTGGTTTTTAGTCAGTAAGAGTCTGACACTCCCTCTCGCCTAACCCAGGTGGGAGCAGTCATTCGATGATTTTCCCCCCTTAAAAAAAAAAGTCATCCTGTATACCTGACTCTAGATAATCAAGTAAAAAGATGTATTAACCGCTTGAATGCACTGATATGAGAATATGAGACACAATAGAAAATACATTGTGTCCCGCGTGGATCCACGTTTAGACACACGACGGGTTAAAAAAAACTTTAGCCATCTTATAGCCCATTATTTTATGCCCTATTAATTACGTTATCTTGACCCCGAGAATACACTAATGCGTGTTTATAAGTCGCACACGCAACTAAAAAAGCAAAGACCAGTTTTATAAGAAATAGGTCGACGAAAACAAAAAAATGAATCTAGTTGTTTAGAGTTGCATCATCGCATTAAAACTTGACTATGATTACACTTAATTGGTAATTAAAATCGTAGTTACGATTTACTAACTAACTACTGGATATTCAGTTTTTATCCTAGTCGTTAATCGAGAAAAAAATTATTTTTAGACCGAGTTGTATTTGGTTTTCATGGTTCCTTATCTATACTCTATACTAATATTATAAAGCTGAAGATTTTGTTTTTTGTTTGTTTGTTTGAACGCGCTAATCTCCGAAACTACTGGACCGATTTGAAAAATTCTTTCTGTGTTAGATAGCCCATTTATCGAGAAAGACTATAGGCTATAAAATATCATGCTACGATTAATAGGCGCCGAGCAGATCTAGTGAAACCGCGCGGAAGTAGCTAGTAATTAATAATACTAATCCAATTATTATGTTTTTCGGCTAATTAAAAATAATTACGTGACGTGAGTAATTATTGTAGAATTGTGCCCGGGATATGGCAATCAGCTCATCCCCTATTACATGGGACGCAAAATATAAATAGTGAAAAATGGGTGTGACCTACATATTGTAGGTACACTGGCATTAAGTGCCGTAATGTGCACCTCTGCCTATCCCTTCGGGGATAAAAGGTGTGATGTTATGTTATGTACGTGAGTAAGCCGAAAAACATATTAATTAATTTAATATGTCTCGCGAAATTTAGAGTTAATACAAATTAAAAACACTGTTTTGTACATACGATTGAATGGCTGGGTTTTTTAAAAATCTTAGTAGGAGTACGGCGTCTGGAATAACATAAATAGTGGCATTATGTGCCGTAATGTGCATCTCTGCCTACGCCTTCGGTGATAAAAGGCGTGATGTTATGTTCTGTTACGTGTCATTGGATGATTTACCCCCCTCTAAAAAGAGGAGTTACAATTGTGATGGCCTGCCGCTCGAAAGAACTCTGAGACCCCTTGCTTAGCAGTCACACTTGCGACCTCACGGCCAACGAGGCACTCTATCAATATCTTTGTGTACCAACGAGCCTAAATAATAGAAAAACATTTTTTTCTTAACAATGTCAATACCACACAAATTCACAAAGAAATCTATTATTTACAGAACCCTGAAAACACGTTCAGAAGTGTTCAGTTTAGTAGTTATTGTTACACGAAGTGGCTGTGTTCAGTGTTTAGTGTTGTGCATACAAAATACTGTTCACGTGCGAATAACTATCGATATCCTATTCAGTTTAAGTTCAAATTAAAATGATTATTAGGAAAAGGAGATATCATTATATGCGGTTAGTTTTTTTTGTTTATTTACCTATTCACGCTTATAAAACCTTGTTTTTTTAATGATGGATGCGTCATCAAAGATTCTATCTTGTGTTGTGGGTTTATTAAAAATAAACACATAATTTCACATACCTACATATGGACCCGGACTCAGAACAACAAATTGTGGATCACTCAATTTTCGTGTGATAATCGGAGTCACGACTTTATACATAGGTCCATTTTGTACTCACAAGAAACGTCAAGAAATTTATTTTTATCAAGGAACCGTCGCAGCATTAGTGCCCAAAAAAAAAAACGAAAATATACGTGGCCAGTATTTTTTATTAAACTAATAAGTACTTGAACAAATAGTCCCCTTAACCCTATTAGACATTAGGTACATTTAAGTGGTCTAGTTGGCGCCTTAAAATAGTTAGGCAAGGTAGGTAATTAGGTCACCATTAGTTAGGATGGATCAATTCCATTAACACGTGCCTGCCCACTTAGGAGACTGTCTACACTCTACAACATACCATTTCAATATATAAATAATACTATTATACTATTAAACTGGCAAACACCGCAACGACACCGGTGTCCGCACACCTATTGTTCTTTGTGTCTATAATGACGGTACTCAAAGGGTTAATCATCTAACTAAATTATTAATTGTATTTTACGGCATAGATACTATTAAATACTCACATAACTATTCCACGAGGGTAACCCAACTAGTTTCGAGCCACGTCAGGGGCCCATAGTTCTGAGTACCATGTGCGACACCCAATGCTATTAGTTTACGATAGTTATAATACAAAATCATGAAAAACTAGGTTCCAAAGTATTTCGTATAAGCATTTAGGTATATTTTACTGAAAACTTAATTTACAACACTCAAGTATCGAAGTCACGTACTTATTGCGGTCACTAATTGTTGCTAGAACCTGCATTATGGTCAGGTAGACATGTACTTAATTGTTCGTGTCGAGTGCGCGACCTTGCGAGGACGTTGAGTGTATAGTGATAAGCGGTAGCGAGCGCGATTTCAGTAAGCAGACATTTAGCTGTATTCTATTGTTATTTCAAATTGTACAACCCTATAGACATTCTTACTATTGATCTTTGAGTGACCCAGGGTCCAGGAAAAGGTAAAAGATACACGATAGCATTGATATTTTCTAAAAAGGGTAAAATTGAGGTAGACGTTAGATGTGAAATCTATCTATTCTTCATCAGGTATTAGGATTCTGTGTGAGATGAACCTATTGTCATTTGTTCAGCATTTTCCAGACTCCTTGGTGTCTTGCTACTGAGCAAACACTCTGATAAATGAAAAGACGTAATCGAAGCATTGGCTTACAAAGCCCTAAGCACTTAACAGACGTCGCGGAGAACCTAACGAGTTACCGGGACTCCGGCTCGAAGTGCAGGAGAAGGAACGGGGTAGTTTTTAGTCAGTAAGAGTCTGACACTCCCTCCCGCGTCACTCGGGCGGGAAAAGACATTCGATGATTTTCCTCCCTTAAAAAAAGCCCTTAACAGACGCAACTCAAACACCACTACGCTATTCTTGTCACTAAAACCATACCCTATTAGAGTGATTTATATAGAGTTTTAAAATCACCGACGCACTACGCTGGTCACGTACAGCGCTTTGTTTATTTTTTTATTAACTCATAAACAATGTATGGCTAACCACATTAAAGTGAAGTATTAAGTGTACTACAGCGTCTACAGTACAGTAAAATTTGTAATATGGATGGATTTAAGCTGAGGGCACACTTTAGAGAGCATTGTAATCTTCGCTTGAACTAGCGGCAAGGGGTATCGGGTTCGATTACCGGGTCGGGCAATGCGCTTAAAAAAGAAATCTCAGTAGGTAGCACGTGTCTCAAATTGTTCCCAGTATATGGCAATAGGCTCACCCCCTGTTTCATGGGACTCATAACATAAATAGTGAAAAGTGAGTGTTACATTGTACAGTGGCTTTAAGTGCCGTAATGTGCACCTCTGCGTACCCCTTCGGGGATATAAGCCGTGATGTTTTGTAATGTAATCTAGCCTATAAGCTACTAGTTAGATTTGAATGTTATTGCGGACGATCTTGTGGGTTACCGTGGCATCGGCTTAAAACAGAAGTAGGAAAGGGGTGGTTATTAGTCAGTAAAATTTTGACACTGCCTCTCGCCTTACCCAACGCTGGAGAAGTCATTTGATGATGTCAACTCAAAATAAGACTGTTATGGCAGAAAGCTTTGCAAAGAGAAGAGTGGGTGGAGAATAGAGACATTTGCACTGCAGTGAGACGGTCACAGCTGAATAAGCAAATAGCTTCACTAGAGGACTGACCTACAGACTGACATTTTTTCTTATTATTTAATATTTAAATATTTTGTTTTGACGTTCAAAAGTGCCTTACTGGTCTAATTGAAATAAATGATTTTGACTTTGACTTTTTTGACTAAGAATTCGATGACCTATATTAAGAAATTATTAGTGTCGAACAGAGTTAATAAATGATGCGTTTGCACATTAAATTTGTCTATTACAACAGTCTCAGTAAAGGCGATTTTCGGTTTGTTCCAGTGTACATAGGTAACGCAAATAAGTAGGTAAACTTTTTCTTAAATAAAATGAAATGTAACAAAACAGCTGTCTTACAATCTTGTTCCATTTATTACTTCGAAGAATAATAAACATGATGTTCTATAAAACATTAAATAATTCAAATTCAAAATTCGCTAACATCTAGCACCGGCTTTACGCGTCGAAGCATACTGATCTTGAGTATTATCATAAATTGTTGCATGGTTTCGAGAAGTAGGTATCTAATACAATAATTTGTACAGTTGTACACTTTGTGTGGTTTCTATGCAAATGTAGCGTATCATGTATTGTATGAATTAGCATAAATGTGGTTTAGTTTGTCTAAGTACATAATGAGGCTACCGTTGTGTTGTTTCGTGTCTATTATGTGTGGAATTCGGTTATTTATTATGTGTTGTCATAATTCTGTTTGAAACTGTAGCTATTTATATTTTTACGGTTATTTTACGGTATGATATGGTCATTGAAGTGTCTGAGTTGAGCACTACAACCTACAAAGATGTTATACGTACCAACTGGATATTATTATCTGGTAATAATTTTACTATAAACCTTAAGTCTTAGTAAATCTCCTACTTACACAATATAACATTAAATTTTCTTCTATATTCAACAGTGACAAAAGCGGACTAATCACGCCGCCTCAGAATGGCGGCGAGGAGTCCCCCCCACCAGAGAAAGAGCGAGCAGACCGCGAGGATTCAGAGAAGAGTCACTCGACCCCAGTGCCGCACTCTGCTGAGGGGCCAAACGATGACCTATACGCAATACCGGTCAAATTGAGACCCAAAAAGGAACCCCAACTGCCGCCAGGATGGGAGAAACACGAAGGTACTCGTAGGAGATGTATGTTCATTGCTCATCTGCAGATTCTAGACATAGTTTTAGTGTCGAAATTAGGCCTGTAGGTAGGTAAGTTAGTTTTATGGCATCCCGTTTGGTACTGGACTATAAAATCCTAGATTTTGTTGTGTCAGCAGGTTTTGGGATAGTAAAGGAAAGCAATTCATATTTGTGATGCAAAATCGAGTCCAGATGTAGGAGTTGTGTAATGTGGAGTAGGCTATTATGCTTTGAACATCGACGTGCTTTAGTTTAAGAAATAGATAACTCATTTAGCTTTTGAACATAGCGTGCTATATATCTATAGTATAATCTAATCTGAATAATATTAAGTCATTCCTAAGGTCATCTATCAATTTGATTACTTTTTGCATGTTTTAGTAGAATTGCGATCCATATGCCAGGAATGTCAAGCATTAGAATCTTATAGCCAAAACATATTCCAAGCTTCCCAAAACCTTAATCATTATCTTTTTTCATCAGATAACGACGGACCTTATTACTGGCACATAAAAAGTGGGACAATTCAAAGAGAGATCCCCAAGATGCCGCCCATAGAAGCCAAGGAGTCCCGCATTTCCATGGTCAGGGACTGTTCCAATCTGTCTGAAGTCAGCAAGTATGAGGGCAGTATGATGACCAGTTCCGTCACCAGGAGTACCACCAGTGGAGCTCTGGACCATGATGGACAGGAAGCCGAGAGGAAACGGAAAGAGGAGATGTCTTACAAGTGAGTTTTGTTGTATTTTATTTTGAGATTTTTTTTGAACTATTGGTAATGGAGCAATCAGCGTTTTCAGCTAGATACATGGTTTATAATCTTTAGATAAATCGTGCGATCATAAATATTCAGGCGACTGTTGTTAACCCGTCGAGCGTCCGCGTTTCTTATGATCCAACGGGTGCACACGTGACATTTGGAGAAAGAAAGAAATAAAGAAAGAAAATGCATTTATTTGGCCATTGGCACACGAAAACAAGGATCATTACAATAGAAATAAAAAATACAGTCAAAATAAAAACAAAACTTTAATAATAGATTTTATAAAAGAGAAAGCAGCATGGATCATTTTTTCTTATGATCCACCGGGTGCTCATAAGGACGCTCGAGGGGTTAATTGTCATTAAAACTGCACAACCTTCCACCGTTTGTATGACAAAACTATCGTCTCTTTTTGCTAATAAGTATCTATTTTTCTATTCTATTTCTATTCTCCCCAGACGCCGCAGTTTCCCAGCCCGTCCAGAGCCAGACAACGGCCGTGCCGTCAGGTTTTTCGTCCGCTCCCTGGGTTGGGTTGAGATTGCAGAGTCCGATCTCACCCCAGAAAGGTCCAGTCGTGCGGTCAACAAGTGCATCGTGGACCTCAGTTTAGGCCGCAACGATCTGCTGGACCAAGTCGGACGTTGGGGTGATGTGAGTAACTGTCAGATTGATTTGGATATTGTTCATAATATTTGCAAGGTCGATGAAGCCTTTAATGAACCGTAGGGTCAAAAACTTGGCGTATTTTGCAGCACGAACTTTGTTTAGGCCGGGTAATTTATTGAATTAAAAACCGACTGGCCTGTATAAAAAATATATTATAGACGTGGTTATAGTAAATTCGGTACAGCTGTTTTGATCGTCGTCGTTTAGTGAAGTGGTGTGTTGGGGGCGGTCGCCTGGCTTCCTCAGTCGCCCGGCTTACACACGCAGTCACCAGTCTATCCTTGTTCTAGTATGTGGTACAAATACAAAGTAGTTTAAGTAATCCACAATATTATAGGAATTCTGTGTAGAAAATAAAGATTGATTGATACTTTGACAGGCTGTCCACATAAGAGACATGGCGAGAACAAAATTCATGGCGTGTCAATTTTTCACATTCTCATTTCTATTTCAACTTTCAGGGCAAGGATCTCTTCATGGATTTAGACGACGGAGCTCTAAAGCTGATCGACCCTGAAAGCCTGAACACACTGCACACACAGCCCATACACACCATCCGTGTTTGGGGAGTCGGCAGAGACAACGGCCGGTGAGTACACACCCTTACATCTTAATACATAAACTCGAAAAAAGTATATTAAAAATAATCTATTTTCTGTCTCTGCATTCTCGGAATAGTGAAAGGTAAATACCAAAGAGTTCTTAGGTTTTTTCTAGATTTTTTACTTTACCTAGATGTAATTTTAGGCGTGATTGTGATTTTGTTTAAACGATTTGTTGATATTCTAGTTCTTTCTTAAGCGTGTTTGCCGTTCCTAGTTGTTTTTGAAGAACTTAGTGTTTAAATTAAATGCCTAAATTGAGGCCTAGTTTTTATAAGTTTTAACTTAATTTATTGTAAATACTGCAGCTTTGTCACGTGCTATTTATTTGGCTTTAGTACACGCAACATGATCAAATCTTTCTGACGATTCCATTTCACAAGTCTCTAAAACAATTGGTTAACATAACCAATTGTCTAAGACAACTGTTTTCCCTAGATCACTTTTTCTCATGAATTATCAGAATGTCTGGACAATCCAGAATTTAACAAGAGTCCGCATCACAACAACTGATGCATTTACTTAGACATTTAAGACCATTAAATCACCTGCACGCCTTCACTTCTTAGCAAAAGAGAATTTAGGGACTCAAGAATATTTTTTCTACCCAGGGACTTTGCATACGTGGCCCGCGACCGTGCGACACGCAAACACATGTGCCACGTGTTCCGCTGCGAGGCGCCTGCGCGTAGCATCGCCAACGCTTTGCGCGACATCTGCAAACGCATCATGATCGAGCGCTCCCTGCAACCACCGCCACGTCCAACTGATCTACCGGCTACTAGGCGGCCTAGACCACTGTCTGGTGAGTTATTTATGATTTATCATCATACCAGTCACAAGACGTCCACTGCTGAACTTATGTGGGCTAACTCTATGACTTGTTGATAGCCTGGTTAGAAGGGACCTTCATCAAAAGACTGGCTCCCACCATCATTAAATCATCCATTCACATTCATTTAAGTCTATGTAGACTAGAGAGACGTCGGAGTTTCAGATGTTCTTCTCGGAATAGTCAAACAAGTAAAATGAAGTGCCCTACTTTCCATTGAATAAAGCAATTTTTTCTACCTGTTTGCCATTACTATAAACTATATGCTCTTTATGAATATTCTAGTGGGTGCAGCATTCCCAACGCCGATGGAGGAGCCCCGTAAGACAGTGCGCGCGCTGTACCTGGGCAGCGCGGAGGTAGCGCGTGCGACCGGTATGCGCGTACTCAACGACGCGCTCGAGCGCCTCGCCGCCGCGCGCCCGCCCTCCGCCTGGCGCCCTGTAGCTGTCGCTGTGGCGCCCTCTATGATCACTATTACTGATGAAGGGGTTAGTGCTTTTGTTTGTCTTATTTTTTGGCCTTTTTACCGATATCAATTTTGGAGTAGAGTTATACCACATTCGGCTAAAATTAAATATTTATGTGTAACGGCTACTAAGTAGTCCAGCTGATATCTGCCACATTCTAGGTGAAATTCATTTCCAAACACGTTCAGTAACTTTAAGTAATGTTCTCCACCATGCTTTCCAGGATACAACCCCAATAGTGGAGTGTCGAGTCCGCTACTTATCGTTCCTGGGCATCGGTCGCGACGTGCGTCGTTGTGCGTTCATAGTGCACACAGCGCAGGACCTGTTCGTGGCGCACGCGTTCCACGCCGAGCCCTCCTCCGGGGCACTCTGCAAGACCATTGAGGCTGCTTGCAAGGTGAGGAACTTACCCACCAAGCAGACAGTAAGACATTTTTAGTAAAAACTTGTTGCAAAATCATTATAAATAGTTTTATGACATCCAGTATTGTCTGAAGTTTTTCAAGCCGCTTGCCAAGCGTGAAGACTGTGACAAACCTGTATTTTGTAGAGGAGGCTCTTTGTCCAAAACTTACCTCTCGCGTCACTAGCTCCTACGTTGATGATGATTGTCTCCAGGGCTCCAGGGCCAGGGCCCGTGTAGTACCTACGATAGTAAACACATGAAAGTAAAATTTGACCTTTAGATTTGATCATGAAAGTAAAATTTGACTTAGGTACATAAACCAGCAATGAGTACAATAATACACCTTAACAGATGTTATAGAAATTATCAAATACCTATCTATACAATAGGGTAACTTACCTACCTGTCACATTTTGTTTCTTCCAGCTGCGTTACCAGAAATGTTTGGACGCGCATGGCGGCTCCGGGTCCCTCGGCGCGGGTCCCCTGGGCGCCGGGTCCGCAGGGTCGGACTCGTCCCGGGGCTCTATTGGCGCCGCCCTCAAGTCCCTCGTTGGGTCGCTCACTGGACGCAGGGGCTCCTGAACTACACTCAACTCGCCGCACTCCGATGGTAAGTTATAATAATAATAATTTAAGTGTGGTAATCAACCTTGGAAGTATCCAAGAATATTCTGCATAAGACCGAAGACCCCTCAACAGGATTTGCTACGAGCCTCGCGTTTTATTAATCTGCCAATGCAGATGTACAAAATTCAACACTCTGATAAAAGTAACCTTTCAGAAGTTAATCTACAATTTCATCCCTGTTGAGGTCTATTGTTAAACTCAAAATTAACGATTTACCCATATCTTGTTCCCCAGATGAGCCATTACCGCCGGAGGAGTGCGGCCCGGCGGCCTGCGACCCGAGCGACAGTGCTGCCGCCGACACACAATAGTGTCACCGCTTGCCGCCATTACGTCACGTCATACTACTCACTGCTATTGTATCGTTTTAACCGAGTAACAATAACATTACGCGCCTTTACTCAACTAGGATAATACCTATGATCTCATAATTATGGAGGAACTTAAGCTTGGTCAAATAAAATGCGTGATAGAATAAGGAAAGAGGTTACATATGTGATTGACACATCGCACGTTGACGTAAAAAAGAGCGCGAATCGCCATATTGCCGCCATATTTGAATTTTCTTCACCATCCAAATACGTTACTTGTTAAAACGATACAAATCTATTATAAGCCGACTGAAAAAAATGACTAAATAAAAAACTAGCCATCATAGTTTTGCTTAATTACATTGACGAACAAAGATCCAAATCTGTCAAATACAAGAACGATTAGTCGATAATTTGACAAGCAGGACTTATATTATACATTTCAAACAAACTCGACTGCATCAATTAACATATCTATTAGTTTTTTTACGCTAATAGGCTCCCATATTTAGTGGAAATATAAATACTTATCTACATAAATAATTACGTGCAATATAACAATAGACATGGGTAATTTTATGAATTAATTTAAGAAATAAACAGGAACGTGTTTAAATATTAACTATTTCTGTTATTTTGTTGATTTTCAATCTAAGTACCTAAACTTGTAAATAAAAATGTTAGAATTCTGTAACTTCACATTTCTAACGAACTTTGTGAACTAGATGTGAAAATGTCAGAAAAAAACTAAAAATACCACTGTGAAGTTACTAAATGTTTGAATAAAGTTTTTAAACTAATTTAATTAATGTTAGAGTAAGCGTAAGTTGGTGTTTTATAGTGACAGGTTATATCGCAACGTTAGGCAAGCTAGCTTCTTCCATTTCTAGACTTTTAAACGCCCTAAGTTTGGTACTAAGGTTTATACTTAATCAGACTGTATTACTAAAACATTAATTAAATTAAATACTCCCATTGTTACCTTCCCTGCTTATACTCTGTTGAACTATGTGTTATCTCGAGTTGTATAAAACCTCTACTTTGGTGTTAGATGTTAAATTTTAAACTTAAAATTGATATTTAATATTTAAAATGTAACGGCGATTTTTCTATAAGTTTGTCTCACAAACTACATAGAATAAATATTGCGTTACTTTTAAATATTAATTAAACTTAGGAATAACATTCTAGAATAGAATCGCTGATGTCCAGATATCAAACAATATTTAGGGCTGATGTTTGTAATACTAATAAAAATAAATTGGTGTGTTGCCAAATTCAAGTGTTAAATACTCGACTTTAAAAACGCGGATTTGACATTTGAGTTTGACATTTTATTGTTAGGATTTACCAAATTCTTGGTCTCTTGAAGGTTACCCTATAAATTACTAGTCCATAGAAGTAGGTACGTTAAGCTTTTGTAAATTTAATGCTATTTATATATATTACAAGTGTGACACAATATCTCGTCACTAAACACTATTGATGTTAACATAGATTTTGTGTAAAATTAATTGTAAGACTCATACTTTGGGATGTCGGAAGTTCTTTGTAAATAATTGTAAACTTAATGGGAGTAAATATAAGGTAGATAATGGATTGATAGAGGGCAGTTCCCGGTGAGAGCTGGCCTGGTAGGAGCACGCTATGGATAGTCAATCGTATGCTGACTATAATAGATGTAATATTGCAGTGTGTGTGGGAAGTATTGGTGTTGAGCACGGTATGTACCTAGAGAATAAGGCATCAATGGTTTCCAAAAAACTTTGGTTCGTAGTATAATTGTAACGAATATAGGACCCTATGATTATAAATAAAGAGTTTATTTTTGCTTAAGCTTTAAGATATTGAGGATTTCGATTGCTAAAGATAAATATTTTTTGTATGATCACCTCATAAGTATTTATAATATTTATATAAATCTAAGCTTTTTGGGCGTAAATTATCCCTTTAGTTCTGCATTGTGAGGGCTCAAATTTAAAGTCGAAGTCTATAAAATATGTGAAGACTTGATGTCAACACTCAGAAACTAGACTTTAAATATTGAGTGATGGTAAGATCCACCATCAACATAATTATAATTTAGAGATCCATTCAAATCGCTAACCTCATTGTTACAAGGGTGTTCGAAACACATTGAGCTTTCAATATTATATATTTATACGTAATATTCAAATCCGCTCGTATTTAAATTAGATTAAAACAAATCCTAAAATCGGCCATTTTACATGCATAAAATATAAAACAAAATGGCTGACGAGTTGCCATGTGCGGCTTACGTAGATTAGAACATTTTCATAAGGAGAGCTGTAACGAAAAGAGGGAATTGGGACCCATGAAAAAAAGATTTTCGAATTAAATTTGACTTTGCCATAGTTGACCCATTGACCTTTAAAGACTTCAAAACTAGGAAAACAGTCAACTATGGGAAGTGAAATGAGTTCCAAAGTTACTTGAAACGTATTATTACTTAATTAAAAGTGTTTTTGTGTCTGTAACACTTCGACAAATATAGTTAACTTGATAGTGTATGAGAGGGAGAGCGACCTCTGAAAAGGTATGACGTCACTACACAATTTTATTGTTCGATGACTCAGACGACATTTAAAAGACCTTTATTAACAAACAACTATTTAGAGGTCGTTCTATTTCACTAGAATAAGGCATTCGAGTTAGAATATCACAAAATAGCTTCAAAGTATATTTCAAATATTAGAGAATCAGTGTCGCTTCACACTTATATATAAATATAATGATACACTGAGCTGTTCTGTAATACGTAACGTTAGAATAGTGTTATTCACACTGTAATACTAAGTGAAAGTCATTATTTATACAAGAATATATAAATATATAAGGGCGGGGTTGTCATAGAGGAACGTTTAGAGGTACTCTCTACTCGTTGTTTTATGAGGGCTCTCTTCGCGCAATACATTGTGACAATGCAAGCTTCAACGGCCTTTTATCGGGTGAAGTATGTCAATATTTTCTATAAAATAAACGTTTATGTAGTTTATTAGATAGCTTGTGAATTCATGTTTTCTAGCTCACTGTTGAATACGATCGGGAAGATGTTATATACAGTCATCGCTTGACAGCTTAAAAGCCTTCAAACTGTGGCTTTTAATGAATACTTTTGTGAAATTAATAAAAAAATATTCATACACATGTGTTTTGTTTGTTTCACCATGCGTTTGTAAGATTCCATTCTATGAGTACCTACGTGGCTTGTACCTACAATTTTACAAAATCAACTAACGAACTCCACTTAACCCTATTCACAAAAAATATTTATATTTGGTCAGGACAGGACCCGTCCATGCACACGTATGTAGTTAATGTGAACCGAAATTATTCGATATAATTAAGATAATGAAGTCAAGTCGGTTATAAAAACAGTGGGTACTACTTAACACTGATTTACAGTTTCACTAATCAGTTTCCAGTTTTCATTGCAATCGATTTCAATATATTTTATAACAACATACTTTTTGTTTTACTCTTACATAATATCACGCCTTTTATTCCCAGAGGGATAAGCAGAGGTGCACTTTACTTAATGCCGCTGTACCTGTACACCCACTTTTCACTATTAACCTTTTGAGCGCCAGGGTCACAAATACGTGACAAGCGAAAACTGTCCCTGAGCGCCAACGACACAAATATGTGACAAAAACAGCGGTACATTAAAACACGAAATAAACTATTTAAACATTACTTTAATGCCTATTTATTTATATACCTGTAAAATAGAAGGTCCAAAATTTATTTATTTCCATAAAACTAATTAAATTGCATTATAAATATTGAGAAATTTTACGTTAAAAAGAAAGAAATAAACTCTGAAAAAAGAATGTCCTCACACGCCAGAGTCATAACTGCGTGACCGCTAGTGATGTAGCGCATGTTGGATAATATCATTATTTCAAATCAAAGATCGATTCGAAACTTTCCTTTGGAATATATTATTTTAGGTATAATTTGGTACTAGGATAAAGCAGCATTGATTTTATAAAACCAGTCTTAAAAATCATTCAATTAGCTACATAGTCAAAAATAAAATTTGGTTGGGTCGAATTTCGATATTCACTAATCCCAACTCAAGCGCATCCCTAACGCAACCCGAATTATCAGTACCCTGTACGCCATGGTCACGACTAGACGACAATATCGTGACGTCACAAGCGCGGCGACCAGAAATTAGTGAAGTGAATGAATAATATTTATGATTAATTTACTTGTGATATCGAGTTCAAGATTTATATTAAGTGACTATTATAATGAGTGGGAATTTAATGACTACGGAAGAACTTCTTCGCATATTAGATGTGATTGGTAATTGTGATAATTATATACAATCGTTAATTGTTTTAATTTGTTACTTTTTATGCCAGGTTTATAGAACTTAATATTTAAAAACATGTATACATAGTACATACTGTATAACATTTTATTGATTTTTTTATTTTTTCATAGGTTTTATATACCTTCTTAACCTATTTCAATCATATATTTTTAAGTACCTGTTACATTCGGAATTATAAATCTGATTTAAAAACGTGTTTCATTTATTATAAAATAATATTGTACTAGAACATCGATAAACGAGATATTACGTTGCCACATCCTTATTTCGGAAGCGAAGTAGTTATTAAAATGGCGGGCCGTCCACGCCATGGTCACAATATGAAGACAGCAGATCAAGAATAGTGTTGTACCTACAGTTATTATATTTAAATATATTGTAGTCTCATATCTGTTATTACGGTATTATACAAGTCTGTAAATAGTGTATAACTATTACTTTAATAGGAAGAAATGTAATGTTGAATTAAATTTCAATGTTATAAGGACATTATATTTCGAAATTAAAGACGAAAATGAAAATAAAATTGATTATCGATGAAGTTTTGGAATCCCTATTTTTTTCGTAGGTATTTGCGGTGAATTTGTGGCCTGGCGTTGAGGGCAAGTTCATGCGTTTTTGCTCTGGCGTTCAAAAGGTTAATGTTATGAATCCCATGTTAATAAGGGGTAGGCATATACCTACTCGGTGCTACCACTGACATTTTTATTAAAAAAACCCAGTAATACTTTACCCGACACGGGAATCGAACCCAAGACCTGCCCAGTCGCACTTGCGACTACTCGGCCAACGAGGCCGTCTTGTTTGTGACTTTTTGTTGTAGTTTAATTGTAATTTAAATTTATTTAATACTCCTTCTTTGGTTTTGTCGATAACTTCGGTTCATGCTTGCATAGTGAGTGGACAGTGCACAAGTCGTGAAAAAAAAACTTTATTTATATAGGTACAGATAAAAAATATTTTCTTATACTTTTAAAACTAAAATAAAAGACCAAACAAATCATATTCATTATAAATATTTAATCATAATTGTTACATTGGGCATAATTTGGAATTTAGGATTTCAACTTACTCAAATCACAAAAAGTCATCTATCGTTTTATTTTAACGAAAATAAAACTATTTTCATAATAATTCAGAGTTCGTGTAAAAATATCTTACTGCTCCACAATACACATTTGATTTAGATCAATAATTAGGTATACATATACATTTTATATTTAGATTTAACCGCGAAAATAACAAATTCATAGAATTTAATCTTGATTTCGATTTGAGGTTATGTTTTTTGGCGGGCAGTCGATTTATAGGCCATGGTATATCACTGAACTGCCAACTCGGAACTTTTTCAATTTACCTTGTTATGTTCGCGTATTTAATTGCATTTTTAAATCGATTGCATCAAAGGCCGTTCGCAGTGTTGCTTACACAAAAAATAATATCTATCCTTCTACATTTTTACAACAGGCAAACGACATTTGAATTCGTGGAGCAGTACTATTTGCTGTTGTTTTTAAACCTTTATCGTAAAACTAATAGCTTTATTATACAAAATACGTGTGTTTCTATACAAACTTAGTGTATTAATAAAATTAAACATTTCTTGTAATATTGTCCAGCACGTGGGCCCAGAGGTGGCCATAGACAGTGTGCAATTAAAAAGTAATAGTACCTTCTTTTGAAGAAGATATCAAGACATTATTAAGAAACAAAAATCAATAAAGGAAAATACTATTTCAACCTTCACATGTAGTAGAAACAGAAAAATTACAGATAATCGCATTTGGCTTATATTTTTATAGAAAAAGAAATAAAAACAGGCGTTCTCTGGACCCGACAACAGCATACAAATGTCAAAAATCGACATACATCTCAAAATTGTATCGCTAAGGTCAATTACATCGATATTTCAGTAACTATCGACATCATTGAGTATCGATATTATCAATATATCGATATAATAACGTGCTTAGACATTAAACGCGTATTTATCAAAGTTGATAGATCGTATTTCGTGGTAATTAGAAAAATATTGTGTGCAATGTAGTTAACAGTGTTTTTAATAAGGAACTATTCTTGTATGATATTAACATCACAGCTAAAACTCCTAGGGAGTAGGCAGAACACTCAGTATTCAGTGACAGGAGTTAGAGACATAAAATCCTATTTATTACTACGGGAGAGTATGAATATTATTAGTTAGTGGTGAAATTGAAAGGAATCCGGACATAATATTTACCATTACTTCTTTAAAAAGACACTTATTCAAAGAAAATTCAGTTTTTCTTAGCATTATTTTGCTGTTTTGTTGTTGTAAGCTAGTGTTTATTTATATTAAATTAAAATAATAACAGATTCTTAAATGATCCTGATGCATAGTGTCACGATTAAAAAGAAGGTTCATTCAAACGAAATTAGGAGAAGAATTGACAGAACATATAATTTTTGCATACATAACATCACGTCTTTTATTCCCGAAGGGGTAGGCAGAGGTGCATATTATGCCACTGTACAATGTAACACCCACTTTTCACTATTTATGTTATGAGTCCCTTGTAATAGGGGGTGACCCTATTGCCATATACCGGGCACAATTCCAGACTCCGTGCTACTACTGAGATTTATTTTTAAAACCCAGTAATACTTTGCTCGTCCCGGGAATCGAACCCGAGACCCCTTGCCCGGCAGTCGCACTTACAACATATAATTTGTACAAGTAAATAAATAGGATTGTTATGCCAATAAAACTATACACTGAGGTTTTAGTAATTTCCAACAAGACTATTAGACTATGTCTATGTATTATTACAGTATCATTTGAAAGGCTATGTCACACATTCACTTGAAAGGATATCGTGGTAACTGACAGACATTATTGGAGGGTTTCTTGGCACTACTTCTATTACTAAAAAAATATAGTATTTTTAAGAAAATCTGATTGGAAAAACACACAGGAAGACTACCAGTGCTAACATGTTTTTGTGTTCTAGTCACTTTATGTATCGTACGAAAAATCCACAACATTTGTTTATACAAAAGTAATCCCTAATCTTCGGAAATAAGGTTTATATTGGAGTGAGTGGAGGGCGATCACCGGTGAACGCTTAGGGACTCTGCAGCTATAAGGAATCTTTTGTTTGAACCTACTCGGTGAGGTTAATTTAATAGTTATGACGTCACATTACAGTGCTAATAACGTCTATTCTTAGGAAACTGCATAGGTTAGTCATCGGACTTCTGTCTTATAAATGATATTTGGTATCAATTTTCGTTCATGTATTTCATAAAATACTAAAATTATTGCACTGGATAGAAAACAGTTTTGTCTAAATCTAAAAAGGTAATTGAGATTGAAATAAGGTTTTTTTTATTCTTATTTATTTACAGGGTTTTTTCACAGGAGAAAATGTCACCCCGATTATTGCGTACATTGAAATAAGTTAAATCAATTAGAACTGGAATAAACTGATTAGATCAGTCGACATTTTATTAGGATAACATTTTAAAATACAAAGAAACAGTTCAAGATTATAATTTTTTATGAGAGGTCAAAAAGAATTAAAAAGATAGGGCCAGTTAATGGCAATAATATAAGAGAACTTTTAAAAAGACGATCACAACAATATGTGGTTTTCACTGGACTAAAATCTTTATATATATAATTCTTCTAAGAGTGTGTATGTCAGTGAACTTCTCTCAAACGACTGAACCGATTTTGATGAAATTTTTTGTGTGTGTTCAAGGGGATCTGGGAATGGTTTAGATTCACAAATCAGCCCGGCAGATGACGCTGCAGTCGATGTTTAGGTTATTTATCCTAAACAGCTGAACTAATCTGAATGAATTTTTGTTTATACATTCAATTGGATATGCAGGACAAAGTCTGTTGGGTCCAGTAGTAACTATTTAATATATCGGGACAAATTCACTCAAAACTGTACGGTCTATTTTATTAGAAGAACCGTTACAGAATAGACTTGCATAGTTAACCAATTTAACTTTTTGCATTAATTAAAAAAAAAAGCCTAAATTCAAGAATCGAAATTACGTAATTTTAAAAATAAGTGCTATTTAGTCGTCTATTTGGGGTTTAAGAAGTATCATTTATATGACATACCTAGGCTAGTTTGAATATAAGTTGGGTACAACACGAGCTATCAACTTGTAGAGACGCGTCAATATTACAGTTTCAGTAATCCAGTAGCGGCTAGTTCGGTTGATATACATACTATTCTTCATGTAACTGTTACAACATCCTTGTGATTTCTACAGCTTCGCTTTTCAGCCTGAAATTAGATAAAATAAATTTTTAATTCATACATAATGAAGGTGTTTTTATAATAACTATCGTGATACGTATCTCATATCATATTTAGTATATTCACGTGAGTGGTCCGCGATTTTTAGTCAATTTCATAATGAAACTAATACACATTAAGGTTTACATGATGCATTAACAACTGTGATAATATTCAGTTTTTATTCCGGTGAAGGAATAAATTTGCAGTATGTAGCACCACCCTTCTGCCCGCAGACAAACGCTCATGCAGCAGAGATGCGACAAACAGGTGAAGGATGTGATTAAGAGTGTATCATCATCTCTCCAGATCAATATAAATATAGTTTCATATTTCCGAGAGAGATAGATCCCATATTTATAAGGTTTACCCAAAAAATAATATCATAAGGATAATATCCCTATAAAAAAATAAAGAAATATTTTTCCAGTTGTTATTGAAGCATGGGTTTCCACAAAGTAACGCCTACCTCTATTCTATGTTTGCATTGGTTTTAAACTATCAAACACCGCGAGGACACTGGTGACCGCAACCTATCGTTCTTTAATTGTGTCTATAATGACGGTACTAAAAGAGTTAATATTGCATGCATCACCAACAGGTATGCCTGAGTTGCATTGTACTGAGAATTGTAGTTTGCCTATCTTTTATAAGGTTAAACTATCTTTACAAAGGCGGACAGGCGACCTGATAAAGGTCTCATGAATTAGTTAGACAGATAACTTCTATCAGTCGACAAAGAAGTCTTTGGGAGAGGCCCACACCGGAAAACTGAAAGGCTACTCAATTTTAAGTCGTGCTTAAGTATAGTTCTGTCACTATAAATCCTTTGTAAAACGACAAAAAATGGCGCGATATTTAAGTACAGCTTAAAATTCAGTAGGTTTTTAGTATACGGGCGCAATGATCCACGACGGCGACCTCTCGCGTCCGGCCCTAGTGCGGATCATGATGCAGAACAAGGGAGACTGGGATGCCGTCTCCTCCTTTTGCGAAGCAGTCATGCTAGCTAAGGAGGAGGCGGGACGCATGAAGCACCGAAGCGCTGCCTCCTCACAACCCATGGCGAAGGAGTGCCGGGGCTCCGGCTCGAAGGGCAGGAGTAGGAACCCCCGTTGGTTTTTAGTCAGTAAGAGTCTGAAACTCCTCCCGCCTCACCCAGGCGGGAGCAGTCAATAGAATATTTTCGCCCCTTAAAAAAATTCTAGCAATGAATAGAAACTTATGAAACCTCTGGTGATGCGACTGGTGACCCTAATTGCTCATTAGATAATCTGTCTACGCGTTTCTGCCATAAAAAAGCTAAGCTTAATAATGAACGTGAAATGTGATGTCCTTACCTGTGATGCCATTACATCCATCCATTTTGTTCAAAGAAGTGCGTTCTGTACTGAAACAAAGGAATCTTCTATAGACATTGCTTACCATAATATAAAAACAATATTTTAACATACAATGTGTGATTTACTATGTGAAAGTATAAGCATAATGAAACTTTTATAATGGTTGTTTTAAGCTTAAAAATAAGTCTGTAGAATACCATTTACTATATAGTACTTTTAATAATAGCTAATAATTAACTAAAAATCGCAAGTTACTCACATAAATATACTGAGAAAATCTCTACTAGTTTCGCCACAGAGGGGCTCTTCCTCATGAGCCAGTAGGCTGCGCGACATCGCCACGACCGCGCACATTACTAATGAGGAAGAGCCTCTCTGTGGCTCGAAACTAGTAGAGCTTTTCTCAATATATCCACGTGACTAAACCACGATTTTTAGTTAATTTAGTATGTCTCACGATAGTTATTATAAAAATATCTAATAATGACGACAATACAAATAAAGTATACATTTATTTAACACAATTGTATGACGTTTGCTAAATACCTATTACTAGTAAATAATAAATTACTAGACTTAGAAATGTTCGTAATACAGGATTCATTAATTACATACATAATATTAATAGGAACCATATACATAATATTGTCTTATTATTACATCTATGAAATGCTATAAAAAATCTCTATAAATATAATATTATATTTAAAAGTACAGAATAATTTCAAAGGATATTTTATACAACCAAAGATCGAAAAGAGGCATAAATATGTACTCTGTTCTTTGTCCATTTTATTTTGAAGTAGTCTCCACTAATAACTGGAAAATTTTTAGTTTTTATTCTGCAGAAACGCACGACATACGACAACTCTAACTCGAGTGGTTTGTGGCGTGTTGTGTGTGTGGTTTGAGGATTGTCGTGTGTGTTATGTGTTGCGTCTCTGTTGCATAAGCATTTATCTGCAGGCGGGAGGGCGGTGCTCCATACTGCATGCTGCAAATTCATTCCTTCAGCTGATAAAAAATAAATATTTTCCCAGTTGTTAGTGAAGCATAGATTTCCGCAGAGTATCACCTGACTCTATTCTGTAAAGTACTCTGACAGAATTAGGGCGAAAGTGTATTTTCGGATACGGGGCGGAATATCCAACCCAAAAATTGAAAAGAATTTCTGTTAAGTCTTACATTTCTCAACAAACTGTGACCACTGGGTTAACGACAGACAGACAGCAAGACCAATAAAGTTCATTAGCTGATAAAACAAGAATGGAAGTTAAAACATGTTAGTTAGACGTAAGATTGACATACAATCAGTAATTTAGTCAAGAAGGTGAAGAGAAGATACATATTTTTTGAAAACAACTCCCCGAAATCCTTATTAATACATTGAACCCCTAATAATATTAATACAAGAACCAATACATACATAAATGTTAGTATACGAAAGCTTGTGTAAGTTATTTATATGGGATATATGAATTATTAATTATTTACATTTTAATATATTCTAAACTGTACTGAAGCCACGTGAATCCTGTTTATAATTATTATTTTCAATTATTTATGTCAAAGTATTTTCTCGACTACTTTCAAGCCATTGCGTGGGCCCATAATCATGGGTATCAAGTAGGTGAGCTAGTTAACTTAATTCATAGCTATTCTTTTCTATGAATTTGCTTATAGACAATAGTACAACAGTATTAATGATTCACGATACACCACACAGTTAGAACACAAATCCGACAAGGTAAATACATTAAATTAATAAGAATGATAGCATAGTTATTATTTTCTTTTCTATATTACATAAAGCAGAGGGCATGAAGACGAGGCTGAAAGGTTGTAACGAGGTTTTATTGTTACTACAGTTTATTTTTTACGTAATACTAAGAGTATAAATTAGTAAGATGTTTGTCGAAACTAAAACTATTTTGTAACTAGGTATTACACCGTTTCTAAAACAGAATAATTTTACAGCAATCTATAAACATTTTAAGAACTACATAGTAACTATTTTAAATTTGAATTTATCTACGACTCGTTACAACCTTATTAGAAGCTGTACAAGCACAATGATCGAACACAGAGTAACAAGCCAATGGAGTACTAGAATTGATTACATACTGAAGTTCTACCTATTTACTTATGTCTCAAAATCCATATTTAAGTAACTAATTCAATTTTGTTTCCATCTAAATATCACTAATATTAGGTACGGTAAAATGGGGTGAATAGGGATCAAGTTGTGAATCGGGACAGAAGAGGGGTGGATCAATACTATGAAGAATTTCCCAATATCTATTCACCCCTCTTCTGTCTCCATTCACCTCTTGATCCCTATCCACGCCATTTTACGGTAGTTAAGTTTCTAAATGACGTCCCACAATATTTTTTTTTTAATTATCATCATTAATTACCTACTTTCTAAAATTTAAACCAATGTTTCAATGGTTCATTCTAGAATTTTTAATATAAGTTTGTGATGTGTATCATTGGATTTAGAGTAAATCTATTTGAAAAAGTATTAAACTGTTTCATTTTTAAATCTGATGTAAAAACACTCCATTGTCTATGTACTAAGTGACATCTATATGCTGCACTTACAGCTTGTCTCTGTCTCGGGCCTCGAAGACAGCGCCCCGCGGGAACGCGGGCTGGCTGGAAGACCTCTCGTGTTTCGCTAGTTGACATAAATATTACTCTTACCCAACTGATTTAGACTATTACCCCTTCCTAGTAATATCTACAAAATATAGTTGTTGTTTTCTGTCACAGTGTAATTTGTGTAGTAACAAAGACTTTGAAGGACTATTAGATTAAATTTATGATTCAATATGCAATGTAATTGTGTATAATTACAAAGGTGACTGTGACCTCAATGAGTGAAAGGTTAACAGCGAAAAAATAAAACAGTGTGTCAATATTAATAGGCAATTAGGCAATAATACTTAATATTGGAGTATTTATGCAAGATATAGATAATTATGTGTATTGACTATATTTTTAATTTGGATTAATTACACTGTGACTATGAAGTTTAAGTTAAAAAGAACCCTTTAAAAGCATTAGGCAATTATAAAGTCATAAAAGACAAAATAAACCCAATTTAAAATAAGAGTATAAATATAAAATTATCCCAAAGAGAACTGATAAAATGATCTAGCTAGGCATTTCTATTCTGGCCAAACAATAATATTCTTTGGAACTATTCTAAGTTAGAATTAATTTGAAAATAATAATTACCGTTAGTTATCACACCTCCATAAGAATTACTGTTGAACTTTGTTGGCTCTTGAGAATGCTGAAATGTGTAAGGAATCGAATTACTTCCTTGCGGCTGTCCCAGATTCCGGAAAATAATATTTTTGCAAAATAAAGTAAACCTATACATTGGAGTTTCAAATTGGCTAAACTTGAAAGTAAGTAGATTTTAAGACATTTCAACTTATCAAGGAATATGAGGTATTTACATATTATCTGATTTATGAATGTGCACTGATGTTATTGCAAACTATTTACTGTATTATTCATAAACATATATTATTTGATGTCACATTAAATTTTGTCTTTAATTTAATTAATTAGTTTATGATATAATATGACAAAAATAAGGTTAATTTTATGAATAATCCAGTAAGCATTAAAAAAGGGTATAAAATACAGAAAGAGGCCACCGCCTTGAAACCACCACCAATGTTAGGCAATTAGTAACACAAATTAATTATATACACAAAGAAGTGGTAGCTAGCTTGATTGCAGATAAAAAGAACTTGGATTCAATTCTTGGGTAGGGTCAAAAGAATGCAATCACCAATTGAGTAATAAGAATATTGGAGTTTAGCCTTATATCAGGCAATAGGTATAGAAATGGATAAATATTTGAAATCTATCCCTATCTTTTGGATAAAAACTAGCACAACATAAGGTAAAAACATCATATTAGAGTAGTAAGTACATTACCTCCATCTCCCTGAGATTCCTCATGAGCGTATCAATATCATCATTGGTAGGTTCCTCACTCTCACTACTCTTATGCACTTCCTTATCTTTCTTACACTTCACATTATTCACTTTTTTGTTAGCGTCATAGTTCACGCGGTCCTTGGAAGGCACTGTGTCACTTTTATCACGTTTACTTTCACTTTTGTCAGTCCTATTGTCCTCCACTAGCTCCACGTCGCTGCTACTGTCGTCCACGGCGAGGGGTTCCTGTTCACTCAGCGGGTCCACGTCCGAGATAATGACGACGTCTTTCTTCCGCTTCACGTCGGGCGGCCGCTTGTCTGGCTTCGCGAACGTCGGCGAGTGATGCACCGGCACTAGCGCCGGCCTCGGGATGTTGTTCTCACTCACTCGCATACTCTCTATCTGCTTCTGTGGTATTTCTTCTTTATGTTTCGGACTTGGGTCCTTTTTACTCGGCTGGTAACTCGTATCTACATGTAACGGCGAATCTACTCTTTTCTCTTTAACTTGACTCTTTTCTGGCTTCTTAACTTTATCTTTTTTCACCATTTCATTCAATGCTGCTGGTGATTTAACCCTAATTAAACCAGACTTATCCGCTGTTGATGCTTGCACATTGTTATTCATGAGCTTCTTCTCAGGTTTAGGGGGATTACTAGGTACAGGTGTTATTGTTATGCTGCCTATATTGTTGGGGGGAATGTATAGTTCTTCTTTCTTTTCATTGTCTTTTTTATCTACAATGAGGTCTTTGCTGAGAGAGATAGAGTTCATTATCGAGCCAAAGACCAAAGAATTTGTCTTGTAGGGGGCTTTGTCTTCCGAAGTGACGGGAACTTCAGTTTTGTCTGGAGACTGTTTGGTGTTGGTAGTGGTGACGGTGAGCGAGCTGGGGAAGTGGATGGGCTCCGTGAAGGATGCGGGGGCTGGCGCCGCCGCGGGGGCCGGCTCCGGCCGCGGCGCTGGGGGCTCTGTACGTTGGCTGGGGGCGGCCGGCTGGGAGGTGGAGCCTAGCCGCGGCCGCTTGGAGTCTGTTGCTTTTAGTTGTTTACTGATACTGGAATGAGAGCAAATATTGTATAATTTGTAAATTTGAAGGTGATGAAATAGAAAGTGTGCCGTTAGACTACTGACTCGGCCTGTCGCAGCAGGGTGGGCATCCTGACGAAGCCCTGCGGGAAGAGCGGCAGCACGCGCGCCAGCAGAGTGCGCGGCGCGTGGCTGGCGGCGAGGCGGGCGGCGCGCGATACGAGCGCGCGGCTGCGGCCGCACCACGGGAAGCGACGCTTTGGGAGACGCTTCTCCACCACCGGCACGCCCTCCGCCGCTGACGCTATCTGGATCTTTTTCCTAGAACATAACATCACGCCTTTTATCCCCGAAGGGGTAGGCAGAGGTCCACATTATACCACTGTACAATGTAACACCCACTTTTCACTATCTATGTTATGACTCCCATGTAATAGGGGGTAAGCCTATTGCCATATACCAGGCACAATACCAGACTCCATGCTACTGAGAATTTTTTTAAAAACCCAGTAATAATTTGCCCAACCCTATTTTTTTTATTTTCCTCGAAATAAATATTTTTACGTTCATTGATATGACACTAATTCATCATCATTCAAAAATTTATCACAAGTTACAATAAATTTAGTTACAAAAAGTAAAATAAATACATATTTCCTTACCTTTCTTCTTGTACTCTTTCACATTCTGCATTGTAATTAGCTATCATCGCTGGCTTCTTCTCATCAATAAGCACTTTCAATCTGAAACCAATTATATCAACTCTCAGTAAACCGCAGTAACTTTAACGTGAATTCATCCAACAAAATTAACTGAAATCCGTTGATAGTAAATAGTTGCCACAGCCTCAATGAACTTGTAGCACCAAAGGTATTACAAATTCATTGATGACCATTGGCCATTGACCATGTAAGAAATTGTTATTTAAAATAAAAATACCGCGATTTAACAACAGTGCTACAATCCACACTTATATCAGATTAAGCACAGTAACATTCTGATGTGTACTTACTGTTTATATTATTATCACAAATGAACTACTCTTTTTGTGTTTTGTCCTCGGACCTGTTAAAATAAAAATAATATGCTAACCTGTACAAAGTCTCAACAAGTAAAGCCTCTCGTTCCTCATCAGTCAGGTTGTCTGGATCGAAATCAACGAGATCATCATCAGCTTTCCTCTTGCTATTGTGGTTCGTTACTGTGGATGGAGGCAAGGCGGTCGAGTTGGCAGTGTTCGTTGATGCTGTTGTTTGAGCAATTGTTGAGTCTGCGAATTTTGATGTTGATATTTCATTATGGGTCTGCATTTTAGAAGAAATTACGAGAATGATTGAGAAGTAATAAAATATTATGATTTTATTATTGGTAACTCATTACTACTTCTGCGCGATTTCATCCGCTATGCTCGGATCCTAGTGATCGTAGCGTGTTGGTTTAGAGCATATAGCTTTCCTCAATAAATGGACTATCTAACACAAAAAGATCTATTTAAATCAGTCCAGTAGTTTCAGAGATTAGCGTGCACAATCAAACACTTCAGCTTTATATAATAAAATAAAATATATTCGAGTGGCTTTAATCAAATGATCGCAAATTCGCAAGGACAAATATTGTAAACGATTTTCAAGTTCATTTCGAGGTAAAATTATCATTGTTCTTTTTTGTTTTTGAAAGTCCTGAGTAGAGGTAGACACGGGACGAAATCAAGTAGAAGCAAAACATTAACATAGTGATGTAGTATACTGAATTACTGACTTGTAGTGGCCTGTTCAGCCCTAGCCTTGACCCGCTGCAGTAGCTTGGCGCGCGTGGTGGCGAGGGTCCGCGCGGCGCGCGCCCAGCCGGCGCGGACCACGCGCGCCTCGCAGCCCGAGCTGCGGAGGACTTGCTCTAGTCTGGAGGAATAATGGAAGGATATTAATATATGGTTGTATGCTGTCACGAGGAAAAAGTAAAAATAATAATAAAAATTGCATGGAGAAATTGAGAGAGAATAGAGGTTTAATGAAGCGCGCATCGTGAGGACATTTCTGTCTCTGGAGCCCTAACCACCGGTAGCTTGGACCATGCACCCACTACTGGTCAGCCTCTATTTTTATATTTACATTTTTTTTGCAAGTAGTATCTAAAAATGTATTTACAGAGAATTTTAAATAAATATATGGGAATAATAATAATAATGTTAAAGAGACCTAACAAAGTTGGTTACTCCAATAGATAACTTTTGAAAGACATTTCATTTGAATAAATCATTTCAGATTGATTTTGAGCAGTCTAGCAATATACTGTTACGAGCTTTGTAATTGCATCGTTCAATACATGCAATCTGGTGACGACGCCAGTTGTACACTGTTATATACCTATAAAACTTATTACTGACCTTTATAAAACCTGTACTGTTTTTAATCTAGGACTTTATATTGGGCAACTGTTCGATGCAATATTTTGCAATCGACCACGGTTGCTAACTTAGCAATATACCGTGACTGAGTGCGTCGCTAACGCAGTGCATAGTCGAACAGCGAACCGGGTGCATTCATAGGCATTCTCACTAGCCATTATTTCAGCATAGTTTTGGGAAATAAACTATTTTATATCATAACATAACATCACGCCTTTTTATCCCCGAAGTAGGCAGAGGTGCACATTACGGCACTTAATGCCACTGTATTTTATATCAAGTGCCACAAACTATTTTGATAGTGACTCCACCCCAGCAACTTAAACCCTTTGAGTACCGTCATTATAGACACAATTAAAGAACAATAGATGCCGTCACCGGTGTCCTCGCGGTGTTTGACAGTTTAATGAATAAAGAATGAATATAATACAAGGTTGTAAGTCCATACATTACCTAACGATATACTCGTCTGTGTGCGCGAGGAGTTGTTTCCGCGGCGTGTGTGGGTTGAGCGCGAGGTGTCGCGCCACGAAGGCGTCCAACGCGTCCAGCGCGGACACCACCCCCGCGGGGAACTTTACCTCCAGTTTGGTCTCTGTGTCTCTGTGGGGACGGGCACATTCGTTTGTAATTATTTTTCTTCATAACGGATTTCGGTTTTGTATAATGCTAAATGGGACGAAAGCATGGTAAAAAGGTACTCACGGGGGTTCAAATTAGGCTGAATTGGTTATGACTGAATTCGGAATGGAACCAGATAGAAAGCCATAACCTGATTACATGGAAATTTATAATAGTGATAAATGAGTGAAACATTTAAAATATGGGCAAAGTGCCTATCAGTTAGAGGAAGGAGAACTGATTATGTTCCAGAACTAGATAAAGAAAGAAAGAAAGAAAGAAAAAACTTTTGTTCAACACCAGGTACAATGCAGCATAAATAAAATATAAAAAAGACAATAAAGGTGTGACAGTGAAATTAATAAAAACATAAGAGTTGAAAAATTAAAACAGAAGAATTAGAAGAGACGCTGACAACATGATATTATATTATATATTTTATCGGTGTGTCTTACGAAGGCATAATGTGGACGATGGAGATAGAAAAATCTTTTTGATATGTATATCAATTTAATCATACTTGTCTTCTTCTTTATTGCTACACAGAACTAACAATAACGGATTACACTTTTAAATACCTTGAGCTATCTGAAGTGGCAGCATTCTCGGAGCTGGGAGTAGGTTTGGACGTGAGAGAGTCTGACTGCGACGTGTGGGAGTCTGCGCTCTCAGCGTCGCCGTGACCATTATCTGGAAATTAATTTGACCATAAAATACCATCATTTTAATGATGAGGTACACAGATCATCACTGTCACTACATAGTATAAAACAAAGTCGCTACCCGCCGTCTGTCTGTCCCTATGTATGCTTAGATCTTTAAGACTACGCATTTTTTTGATGCGGTTTTTTTAATAGATAGAATGATTCTTAAGGAAGATTTATATGTATAATACATGCATATTGCACCCGTGCGAAGCCGGGGCGGGTCGCTTGTATTCTATATGAAGTATTATTTATTTATGTGCATGTTTTATAGGCATTAATCATTAATATATATAAATGAATTTCTGTTCGTTAGTCTCGCTAAAACTCGAGAATAGTTGAACCGATTTGACTAAGTTTGGTCTTGACATGTTCCTAGAAGTCTAGGAAAGGTTTAAAAGGTGAAAAAAATAATATTGAAGTACGAAGTTTGCTGGTTCAGATAGTCTTTAATAAATAAAACTAATCTTAAATCTTATTCAAGAAATAGGGATTTAGTTTCATAATATGACTAAGTGATAGCCTATACCTGTGCTGTGAACTAAATGGCATTTAAAGATGAAACTTAGATGATTTATGATTATATAGTTGTGCTCATGAAGGATAATTAAGAATGTTATTCTATTGGAGGCTATCGTTTTTTGGCCAATCACAGCAGCTGTCAAATATTAAATGTCCAATAAAAAAAAACACTAGTTCCTATTGGGCAAATAACGAAAGATTCAAACTAGTGTGGTGAGGAAGAATACTGTAGGCCCTATTAGATTAAAGTAAAAACATTTTCGTCTATTTAAATCCAGTTGTGTAGTTACATTTTTTTATGGCATAAGCCGGTAAACGAGCAGACGGGTCACCTGATGGTAAGCCACCGGCGTCGCCCATGGACACCTGGAACACTAGAGGCGTTACAAGTGCGTTACCGGCTTTTTGGGGATTAGGAGTTTGAGGATCGTTGGGGATTCAGGGATTGGGGAGATTGGGGAAGGGGAGGGTAATTGGAACTCCGGTAATCTCACTCACACGACGAAACACAACGTAAGCGTTGTTTCACGATGGTTTTCTGTGAGGCCGTGGTATCACTCCGGTCGAGCCGGCACACAGTTATATCAGTTGTGTTGGACACATACCATCAGAAGTCTGCTTGCCAGACGTAGCGGCCGATGAGTCAGTGCGCCGCACTTTCTTGGCCGTCTTCTTATCAATCTTTTTGTTTTTCTGTCAACGAAATGCAACATATTAATAATCTTATCTTCGCGGAACAAACATTGTTATCTATAACGTAATATAATTTAGTTAAAAAATGTATTTGCTATGTGGTTACCCTTTGTTCAACCTTGAATGGTATGTGAGTTTTCAATTATGTATGGCATTGTTAGAGTATTAGTTATGAATTAACTAAGGAGTTGGGAGTCTTTACTGCCGGTTTGAATAACCTAGCTAGTAGATTAACATACCTACTAGAGATATATATACATATTGCCTAGACTTTAAAAGAGACGGACCTCTGAGTTTGTTTCGGCATTTCTTCTCAAAGTAGTCAGTTAGGAAATCAAGATCTCGATCTCATCGTGCGCTTATAAATTGACGTATAAAAGGGCTCCTTGTAGTCTATTTGTAGAAATAAATTCACTTGTTTCACTTGATAGATTTTTTACAATTAGAAAGATCAACACTTTGTGTGTTGGGTCCAGACCCGGAACATTAATTTATGGATCAAGATACCCAGGTATCATGTGCATGAGTATTTTATGTTCTTAATACAGAAGTAAATAGGGTGGGACAATGTGTAAACCAATTGCACATTTCTATGAAGTTCCATATTCTATGAGATCTTCGCTTTTATAAGTTTTCTCATAACAATGATACAATACAGTACAGTTTTGTTAAAATTAAACTTTAAATCCATTTTGTTTAGCATACCAATCTTAATTCTATTATTTGTAGTTTATAATATTAGTGTTTGATTACCTTCTTCCGATGTTCAGTCTTATGCGAGTCTACATCGCCGTTAGCTATCGCCTTGGGATCCTTCTCATCTTGACTGGACTCTGAAGAACTTCTGTCTGACGAATCGTCCTCACTGCTGCTTGATGATATACGCCTCTGTGGAGATATTAACATTTTTAATAGCGATTAAAAAGTCGTAACAGATCTGAAGAAAGCTTGTCTGAGGTACTTTCAGATACAAGATAATGTGGACGGACGGACGGACCATATCGATCATACTTGGCATTGACAAGTCGGCCCTCCCCATTTTATTCTGGTGTTTCCCGAAAAATATTAACAAAAATTAAAACTAAAGATGGCATTTTCTACGGCCCACGATCAGATGGAACATCGGTTTGTAAGCGGTCGGCCACCTATGGCCATCCGCAACATCAAAGAACTTAGGGGGAGAGGGGATGAGCGGAGTATTAAAAAACGTTTCACGTCGGTTTTGCGGGGAGCCGTAAATAGGTACATTTCTAATGGGGCCTACCGTATTTTAACTCACCAGATGGTGCTAGTGTGAACCTCTCGTTCTTCATCCAATAAGGAATTAGCTAGTGTCACCTCATTGGACGTTCAATATTCGACAACTGCTGTGGTTGGATTAAAATCTCTTCTTTGCGCCACTTGGTGACTAAAGATACAGTAGCCTCCATTATTAGATCTATACCACTAACCTTATTCCTTCGACTACTTCCGGGTTCAGCATCAGATATCGCAGCTTGGTCAGCCACACTCTTGAACTCCAGCGAGCCGCAGTTGATGTAGAACCCGCCGTGTAGAGTGTCGCACTCCGGCGGGATCATCTCATCGTACTGGAATTAATATTTTATGTTAGGTACAGGTATTTTTAGGTATACTTTTGTTTCTTTATGTTTTTTCAATCATGAGCTAGATGAGGGCTCACAGATTACAAAGTTTCATTTTAGACAGGCATTTCAAAGACCACTGGCATAAAATGAATGAAACCATCCATGAAAAAACATGTGCCTTTAGCCAAACGCCACTTTAGCGCTTGTCTACGGAGAGAGTAGAAAATAAAATGTATGGGGATGACACTGACAAGTGTCAAAATTTACGTCAATTCCATGTAATTTGGTTTTCTATTCTACATGTAGACAAGCGCTAAATGGCATTTGGTTACAGCTGCTGGATTTATATGTAATGGGGTCTGAAATAGCAAATCAATCTTCAACAAGATTGGTGATCAATACAAATCCTTCTCAATATATAATGAAATTATAACCTACGTATTTAGATGAGCTATATACATAATTATGTATCTAGCTATATAATTATATAGCTTATAATTATTATAGTAGTCATTCCTGTAAGGACGAATACATAAAAAATAAAAACTACGTGTAAAACGCAGACATTCCATTGCCAATGGTTTAGTTTGAGGCACAGATAACATAAAGGAAGCCAGAAACCCGATTAATCTCATTAAGTTCGAAATAAATATATGGTCACATTATAAAAACCTTTAAGTAGGTACTATTTACTAACTAGCATTGGTATTACGTAATTTATTTATAATAATACAAATTATATAAATTCTGTAATTAACAATATAAATGTCTAATCTATATATCACTACATAGTATAAAACAAAGTCGCTATTCACCGTCTGTCTGTCCCTATGTATGCTTAGATCTTTAAAACTACGCAACGGATTTTGATGCGGTTTTTTTAATAGATACGAGTGATTCAAGGAAGGTTAATTAAATTAAAAAAATCTTTTTGTGTCGGAATAAAAGTCCATTTATTGACTAACATAAGCTACTTTTATTTTAGAAAATTTAAATAAAAAGAAGTAACGTCATAAAACTCATGCTGTACGCGGACAAAGTAGCAGACAACAGCTTGTATTACATAACATACCTGTCGAAAACTCAGTGTTATATTTAACATACGCACTTCCCTCTCCTTTTTAAGATTAAAAAAGTAGACGTTAAGTTATGACATAACATCTACTTTCCTAGTCTAGGTACCTAGGTCCTGTCTAGACCTCTAAAGGCCATTTTGATTCCTATATTCGAACTGTGTCAAACTGACCAAACACTAAATCTAAAACGGGCATTCTGAAAACATTCGGTACAGTACGACAGTCCCTATTTTAAAATACAGTGACCCAGTTAGTGTTTGACTTGCCCATAATTGCTGTGGCGGTACGGTTAAATTTATTTTATAGACGTAGGTACCTACACCTACCTACCACGTGGAGAATTACGGGTAACGGTACAATTGAAGTTTATTATTTTATACGCATCACTAATGTGACGTAGCAAATTCCTAGAAACTTACATACTACTGCCTAATTACCAACTGTATAGAAAAAAGATTTTATTTCATGATAAAAATGTACTTTATGTCAATAGGCATAGGTATTAGTATTCTTGTAACACGATAAACGCCATGAGGGTCACCGGTGATCGACATTATCAGAGGCCTTGCCTTCAACAGTTGTCTATTGGCAGTAGAAATTTAAGTAGCTATCTTATAGGAAACATTCTTTGCCAAAGTCTGCGTCTCCTGAATGAAGGGTTTGGGTGTCTTCAAGGCCTAAATGAATAGGTTGCTTATTATGGGCAGGCGTGCTCCATCTCAGGTCGCATCATCGCTTACTATCAGGCCGGCCAAACTTAGATACATTTCTCTTATTTTTAAACAAAATAATAAAAAAATTACTGCCTCGTCGGCCGAGTGGTCGCAAGTGCGACTGCCGGGGCATGGGATCTCGGGTTCGATTCCCGGGTCGGGCAAAGTACTACTGGGTTTTTAAAAAATGCTCAGTAGTAGCACGGAGTCTGGTATTGTGCCCGGTATAAGGCAATAGGCTCACCCCCTATTACATGGGACTCATAACATAAATGATGAGAAGTGGGTGTTACTTCTGTATGCACCCCCCCCTACCCCTTCGGGGAAAAAAGGCGTGATGTTATGTTATAATAAAAAAATGAAATTTAAAAAAATTATAACTATAACTTACCCCATGCGTATTGTCGATAAAGGAATCATTTTCATCGTAGCCAGCTCCGATGTCCGCGAAATCATCATGCTTCGACCTGCCCTTACGGCCATATGTACTTTTACCGCCCTGTAATATAACAAACATCATTGATCAATATTATTTAATCTATATAAATAAAAATGAATTACCGTTCGTTAGTCTCGGTATAACTCGAGAACTGCTGAACCTATTTGGCTGATTTTGGTCTTGAAATGTTCGTGGAAGTCCATGGAGGGTTTAAAAAGTTACAAAAAAATTTAGGCGGTACGAAATTTGCCGGGTCGGCTAGTATTTCGGACTGCACGGTTGGTGCGGTGGCTGGGCAACCAGCTGCCGTGCAACGTGTCGCGGGTTCGATTCCCGCACGGAACAACATTTTGTGTGATCCACAAATTGTTGTTCCGGGTCTGGGTGTCATGTGTATGTGAACTTGTATGTTTGTAAACGCACCCACGACACAGGAGAAAATCCTAGTGTGGGGGCAACGTTTTTTTTTCATAAAAAAAATTTCAATAAATTACTAGGTACTCCATCACCATCACACAGACGCTCCTAAAATTTTCAAACCCGCCGGTTGGCGAAATTTTTCCATTTATCATTAGAGCTCATAAACTCATTAGATTTAATAAAATAGTTTACTTATAAACGGCTAAACGGAATTTAAAAAGACAAATTCTGTAACTTAGTTTAATAGTTGAATCTGATAGATGGCGCTGAAATCAAACAGGACGACATGATTGTAGTATTTTTATGTTAATAAGTTTTACTCACATATTTCTGCTCAAACTGCCTAGCGACGCGGACCACATCATCATTGTTCTCTGAGAACGGATCCAGCCCAGCTGTGGTCTTGCCATTTTCTCTATCCACTTTCTTCTTTCTCTGAAAATACAAATTGGAAAAATATTGAACGAAGGTCGACTTGGAGAGGGTGGTTAAATTAATACACAGTACTGAAATACTAATCGCGTATAATATCTCTGTAACTATGCTTGCTGCTCACACCGTAGATTAGACATGGGTAGGTAATGCGTGTAATAGTACAAAAGTAATATCACTTTGACACGTAATGCAACATCACGCATTACGCATCAGTTACAAACATCACTCGCATCACTCATCACTTCGGCAACGTTCGGTAAGCGTCGTTTTAGTTCGTAAGCACGAGCGCCCACCGCGCGCAGCCGATGTAAAATTTTGCCGGCCGCGCATATCGCGAAAAAGAGACAGAGAATGGTGACACGTGCTATGCAAGTACCTAGTATTCAAATGTTTTGATTTTTTATGTCGCCAAGTTTGTTACCGGGCGGAGTAGGTTACATTGCTTGTAATTAGAAATTAGTTTAGATAATATATAGATTTTTGTGTAAAAATGTAAATATTGTACAAATGTGTATATATGCGTTTGTATATGTGTATATATGTATAAACCAATCAATGTTGTAAATAGTTGATTTTTAAATACGCCTGTCTTCCTTAAACAAAGATTGCCAGTCCTAAGCCTGGAGGGCCCCTTTCTTTATTTTGTTTTACATTTGCTTGCGTTCATTACAATTATTAACAAACAACATAAAGTACGTGGCCAAGTATGAAGGAAAATCAACTACATTTTTTTAATATTTACTTAAATTGTAATTTTACGATATGTAATAACTATTGCAGTTATTATTGCTACTTTTCAATATGATCTGTAATACTTCACATATCACCTTAAACATTACTCGGTCATCATTTCAATAAAAATCGATCGGGTAATGTGTGATGTTACGGAGTAATATCACTTCCGTGGAAGAGATGCGTGATGTTGCATTACTATTTGACGTACTGTTTTGCGCATGTCTACCGTAGATGTCATTTGTCCGTACCCTATATAAATCCCGGTAACGAAACCATAGCGCCATCTAACTCGATCCCAACGCCATCTATCGAGCGCTGGGACAACTCGTGTTAAATAATGAATTATTTTATAATAAAATAAAATGTTGATAGCGCTATGATCCCGTTACCGCCACGAACATACCGCCCACCAAGGACATATTTTCAATAAATGTCCTTAATAATCCGCCCACCATAACAAATGTGCCATATCACAATCCTCTACCCAGTATGGCAACTGACGTCCTTGGCGGCTCGTATGTGTATGTATAAGTATAAACCAGCTTAAATAATTCCACTAAAACATAAACAAACAATTCCCAACCCGTTACATAAACTTTAAAATCAATAACAAAAATTAAAACTTCTAAGTAACAATTAAATGAATATCTCAACTTATCAGGTTAATTATACTAAATTTCATTAGATTCCTGGCAAATTGGCAAAATACATAATTTTGATGTAGGCCTTTTAAACATTGACGATTGAGTGCGTACAGTTACTACTCGAGTCAGTCCATCAGGACCCGGATGTTTTTGCTCAATTTTTCCCATTAACCACCTTGCTGGAGGCATATTATCCTCCTTAATTAAAACAATGTCACCAATAGATGGTTCTGGATTTTTATGAGCCCACTTGTGTCGCTGTAAAAATTGTTGTAAATAATCATTAGACCAACGCCGCCAGAAATCTTGCATTATCTGCTGATGAAGTTGCCAACGTCTTAAACTATTTACATTATTAACCTTTTCATAATTTGAATCCGGGGGTAAAACTGGTGGTTCTCCAATCAGAAAATGGCCAGGAGTTAATATGGTAAACTTATCTTGATCCTCAACGTAAGACAATGGTCTTGAATTAAGACAAGCCTCAACCTGAGCCAATACTGTGGCCATCTCTTCATAAGTTAAGGTAGAATTTCCTATTACCCGTTTGAGGTGGTACTTAGTAGATTTTATGCCTGCCTCCCACAAACCTCCAAAGTTCGGCGCGTGAGGAGGGACAAAATGCTATTCTGTACCATTATTACCCAGATATTCAACCAATTCCGAATTAAAACCAGATTTCTCCCGATTAAACAAATACAGCAACTCCCGTGCTGCACCCACAAAATTAGCGCCGTTATCACTATAATACAGCGCAACAACCCCGTCTGGCCATAGGACCAGTGTATAATAATATGACAAAGCTCGTTTTGCAAAGACGGACCAACCATCATGTCATCATTAAGTGACCTCCCGTTGCTGCGCTTACATGAAGCATCAAATACAACACGCACCTTGGTTGTATCTTTATCATCCCGGATAACAGCATGATAAGGTAAGTAAATACTATTTTTATTATTTCTTTTTTTTCTTTTACTTCTAGATACTTCGACCATGTGGTTAAGACTTAAATACTCTTGTATCACGTTTGCGTAGTCAGCCCTTAATTTATTATTTTTTGCTAACCTTGCTTTTAACCCCCTAAGTCTTTTTTTTTTCAGCTATCCCTTTGGATTCGCCGCCCGTACCGACCAGGTTCGTATCCCGTGATGGCAATCTCACCATGTACCTGCCATCTTTATCCCTTGTCGTCGTTGCTATGAACAATTCTTCACATTTGGTTTCTTCCTCCGTGAGCATCCTTTTTGTTCCAGGTGTTTCTTCCAATACCCAGATTTTCTCAAAAATTCATCATCCTGGACGCTGTTATGCATCACGGTCATTTTTGTGTGAGAATTTATATCTTGGACAACATCAAACGCACCTGATAATATCCATCCCAAAGTGGTTTCTTGCGCTAATAGAGTCCCGTTTCTATTCTTTTTAACACCTTGCTGAATGACTTGACTGTATACCTCAGCGCCCAATAGAATATCGATCTTATTAGGTGTAAAGTATTCCGGATCAGCCAAATCAAATTCGTTCAAGTCCACCCATTCTACCCTAGCTACTTTAGCCGATGGAAGAAGCGATGTTACCGACTTAAGAACGTAGGCGTTAACCCTTATTTGAAACGATGGATTTATTCTAGATTGAAGCTTTATCTCCACTACGGCCGTTGATGTTGTACCCTTATCTCCCACCCCCAATACTGTGTTTTTCGAAGATCTTTTCTTCAACCCTAGATACTGAACCAGAGCCTCTGTAATAAAAGAACCCTGGGATCCCTGATCCAGTAACGCCCTAACTGTATGGTAAGTCCCATTCTTCGACTCAGCCTTCACTAAGGCTGTAGTTAGTATAATACTTTTACTGCTTCCTGTTGCAAGACATGAGACTACCTTTGTTTCAGACCCTTGGTTTGCAGCACCAATACCCTCACCAACATTCGACCCTACAACACCCTGCGGGTGTAACAATGAATGGTGGCGGCGATTACACACTTGGCATTTGAGAGTGTTTTTACAAAATTTTACAGAGTGGTTGCTAAGCAGACAATTATAACATAAATTGTTCTGTTGGACAAAGTTACGCCGATTTTGAGTACTTTCTTTTATAAATTTTGTACATGAACTTATTTTGTGTTCACCTGTACAAAATGCACAAGATATCTTCTTATCTTTAATCACATGAAACGCCCGTGTAGCCTTTGAGACCCTATCTACTTTAGTTTCTATATTTTCTAAACCCCGAAACCGATTAACTAGAAATTCTTTAAGTCGATCAAAAGTAGGAAGATCATCCTTTGGATCTGACGCTACTTGTAACTCCCAGGCTCTTCTAGTAACCGTATCCAGTTTTTCGGTAACAATGTGAACAATTAAAAATGATGCAAGATCTATATCGAGATTTTTTATTGACTCCAAACAATCCGATGTTGTACTCAAAAGTTTTTTAATATCTGTTGCGGACTCTCCAGTTAAAGCCTTTTGACTAAATAAACATTTTACCATACCATTTGCCAAGAATCTTTTATTATTGTACATGGACTCTAACTTCTCCCAACTAGTAACATAATTATCCGAAGTCACATTTACATTTCTTAATAACAGTTCCGCTTCCCCAGTTAAATACCCTTTCAAATAGTATAATTTCTGTGCATCATCTAATCTACTATTATTATGTATCAACCCCAAAAACAAATCTCGAAAGGTCAACCACTCGTTATATTTACCGGAAAACATTGGTATTTTTACTTCTGGCAACTTAAAATTATTATATGTTTTGCTATAACCAGTAAGTCCCGAACTACAACATTTTTCTTTACCTGAAGTATCATTTCTAATTAGTTCCTTTAGAGTGCTTTTAAATTGTACATATAAATCTTCGACCTCCTCATAAAAACAATCTTTGTGATACTTAGAATTCTGCAATTCGGATTTCTTAACTTCGTTTAATATTTTAACGTGAGTATTATAGAAAAGTTGCCATTGTTGTTCTAAATTTTCTAACCTTGTCTCAATATAAGACACTGTAAGCCGGTCTTTAGGACATTTTTTAAAGTTAACCATAGACCTTTCAAGTTTATTTTTCACATCTTCCTGGATACCCACAAACGAATCCATTTTTTATACAGAATCTTACAAACAGATAATACAACAATTTTTTAACTACACAAAATACAATAGAGAAATAATTATAATTTTATGCTAAACTTAATGTCCACTAGTTTTCTTACACTTTTATGTTCCGAACACAAATCTTAAATTTTTACAAGTCTTTTTGAGTGTAACCTCTTTAGAAAATCGGGCATAGGTTCCCCGTCTCAACCACTTTTTCTTAAAATTATTACAAGTTCGAAATTACACACAAATTAGACTAAGTTAATCTTCTACTGAATTTAAGGTTTAATTTTGAATGCACTTTTTCTATTAGATTCTTCCTGAATTAATAAGGTTCAAAGTACTCACGATTTTTCCACTCATTCACTCACTGACACTTGTGACATCTGTCGCGTCACGAAGTCTCCACGTGACTGCACCAGTCAAGTGGCGCCGTCTGCCTGCTTGACCACGAACTGATGAGCAGCCTTCCTTGCGTCGTCCCTCCGGATGCTCGCCGACCATCAGCGATGCTGCACCACGCACCACCAACGGCTCCCAGCTCCTTCCGGTTCCACCTCCAGGGTACTCCAGATACCTCTCACCTGGTACCCCTTGAGGGGATGCTCTGGACAGCGATCCACTGCCCAGTAATGACGCGAAGGATGGTATTTTACCACCACCGGAACCACAAACACTCCCGACCAATCCGACTCCGAAGGACCATGAACGAAGGTCGACTTGGAGAGGGTGGTTAAATTAATACACAGTACTGAAATACTAATCGCGTATAATATCTCTGTAACTATGCTTGCTGCTCACACCGTAGATGTCATTTGTCCGTACCCTATATAAATCCCGGTAACGAAACCATAGCGCCATCTAACTCGATCCCAACGCCATCTATCGAGCGCTGGGACAACTCGTGTTAAATAATGAATTATTTTATAATAAAATAAAATGTTGATAGCGCTATGATCCCGTTACCGCCACGAACAAATATTAATACCGTACCTGAAAACATCAACGATTTTAATCCCTCGAGCGTCCTTATGAGCACCCGGTGGATCATAAGAAAAAATGCTCTATGCTGCTTTCTCTTTTATAAAATCTATTATTAATGTTTTGTTTTTATTTTGACTGTATTTTTTATTTTTATTGTAATGATCCTTGTTTTAGTGTGCCAATGGCCAAATAAATGCATTTTCTTTCTTACTTTCTCCAAAACGTCACGTGTGCACCCGTTGGATCATAAGGAACGCGGACGCTCGACGGGTTAACTTAATACATTTCCAACTTTATTATAAAACAATAGGGTTGAAAATCAATTAAAATTACACCTATACTAGGATAGCTTGGCGTGCTGTCGAGTACCTACTTATGTAGAACATTTCACTGAAATGATTAATGCATTTTGAACCTGCGACCTCGAGCGTAGCATTCTCTTGGGCCGTAATGTACGAACAACAGAAATTGTTACGTTAAGAGTTGAAGGTCGGTCAAGTCTACCGCCACGTTTTTTTATTAGCATAAACTATACCATAGACTTAGAATTATTTAAATAAAAAACATATAGGTGCCTAATCTTACATATTTTTTTCAATATTAACATTGATTATCAAATTACTAATGGTGTACAATAAAGATTATATCAACCTGGCTTTAATTTATGGAATTGAACTGGTGTTATAAAAACTATCTAGCTATGAAATAGGTTAGTACAAAATAAGGTGATAAATATGTACAATTTTATCCTCATAAGTTTATTTAGCGATTGATTGTTGCACAAGGTATTTAATTTATATTATGTAACAAAATCTTATTCATTATTATTATGACCTACAATTCTCCAACTTGTGAGCAATGTATAAACATAGACAGTACAAAATATATCTATAAAATCCTTTTTTCATATCAATGAACATGTCTAACATAGAATACATATCTAGGATTCATTCTACATACAATTAGTAGGTCAAGAATATACAAACAATTACTAAGTACATGTTTGTATATGAACTACATAGCATACAGTGAAAATCATGTATGTAGGTGTTACTCATTTACATAGACGTTAGATCAGATGTTACATCAAATAACATTTTATACTCTGCCTGTCTGCGAGATGGCATATAATGTCATGTCAATGTACAGATTGCATATTCATTTATTTTTTTAATTAAATGCTCATGGACATTGATGAAAACTACGGTCACAGTCTATAAGGAAATAATTGACAAGATTTTGTATTATTATGCAGTTTTTAATAATGGAATTTCCATTTATCATAATAGTTGATTCCAGTAATTTTATTCACTAATCATCATATTCAGGTATTTTGTGGCTGCCCAAAATGAATGCGTCATAATCCATAGTTGATGGTTTTAAAACAATTGAAGTAACCACTGGGAAAATATTTAGATTTTATTCTGCTGCAGGAATGAATTTTCTCACCCCAGCAGGTTCATATAGCATATACATATACTCATGCAACCGAGATGCAACACAAAACACACACACAACACGCATCAAACCACTCTGAGCGGTAGATCTCTGCTGCATGAGAATTTATCTGCGGGTGGTAGGGGGGTGCTGACTCTATTTTTTGTATATGTATAAACAATTTAAGCATCTGATTTAAAGAAAGGTACTACCTATGTAGGTTTGTAGGAGACCAAATACGATTACGATACTGTAACAATTCTTTTCGAAATTCTGTTGACAAACTTGGGTTTTGGGCTGTATTTTTATCATATTTCATCATGATTATTTGTAGCATCAATTTTTTTAAGATATTATGTGCATTAATCACTTGAATGTCTGACCACAGTATATGAGACACAATTGAAAACACATTGTGTCTCGCATAGATCTGCATTCCTGCTTACCACGGGTAAATGTTTCAATTGGACGGATATAATAAATATTTTTCAGATAGAAAATCGTTTATCTGGATTTTTTCTTATAATTTTGACAGCATTAGCAGCTATTATACATATCATGAATAAAATAATATAAAAATGCTGCTTAGAAAATTGTCACATGACTTCAAGACAATAAGAATGTTCGTTGGACTGGCAGCCATAAGGTGTGCTCTGATTGGTTGAAATTAGCATAAGATTATGTCTTGGTTTATTTGCAAGACTTGCAAGTTAAAGATTATTGTTATCTTGACATTTCATTTCATCCACTAAGGCTGATATTTTTTATAGGATAAATAGGTACCCAGATTATTATATTAGAGAACACAATAAATAGGCCTTAGACTTTATTTTCTTTAAATGTGTAGGTAAATGTTAATCTAATTAAGTAATCCAATTATGACATGACTTCAAGAGAAAGTGTTTGATGTGCAATTTAGAACTGCATAAATGGAACCTTTTTTTACAATACATGCCATATAGCCAATGCATAACAATAAAGAAAAACCTGACTGATACTTTTTACCACTTTTATTTTGTTACTGTACCTAATTTAAACTTTATGACAAAAGATTTAAGGACCATAGTTGCTTCATACGTATTTCACATTTTGTTTTTTTTTATGTTAATTTCAGTTCATAACTGTCATTTAGTATTCTCAATTTGAATTTTAGTTATAATGAATGGGTGTGATAACGACGCGCCGCACTTCGCGCCAAATCGTGATAGAAGGATCAAAACTTACTTAAAATGTAAAATCAATAGTAAAATGTTTGAAATAGATACGTTACAGAACAGATTAATTTAATCGTATTAGTCATATACCTACCTGAGTAGTTCAGGATGATAAATTGATAAATATAATCACAATAGCATGAAACACTGATATTACGTCATCACGATTTATCTGAGAGTCCGAGACCAGTTATAACATGAAGTGTGTCTATTATCAATGCTCATACATACCTATAAAAATGCCTATACCTACCTACTAATCTTAAAATATGTAAATCCCCCAAAATAATCATTATCTCATTAAATAGTACCGCTTATCAATTTATGCAACAAATTACATGCAATAAGACAAAGGAAACGTAAACAGTTTATTTACAAATTGCAAACCGTAATATTTTAATGTCACTAACAAAAATTATACAATAATAGACGTTACTGCATTGACATAATGACGACAAAAGCGCGCCATAAATATCAGAGCCCGCAGGACAATAAATGCACGCGCGCCGCCCATAAAAAAATATCCAACTTCCACAAAGTTAACCAAAACCTGTTTGATAAAATGATACATCTCACCGCCAACTAAAAATAACAATACCGCAGAGCGGAACAAAATCTGCAGCTACAATTCATCTATAAATAAATACGTGCCGTATAACATCAAAACAAACAAAAATACATTAAAAAATAAATAAAACTACACAAAGATTACCTATCAAGTAAATTCACACACACGCGCGCGCGCTAACGTACATAAACCCAGTACATAACCTATGCACGCTCGCTAAATACCTACTATCTACTGTTATCGATCTAATATACGGCCACAAGCACAAGAAAACTAAAAAAAAGCTCACTAAGAAGCAAAGGTCGAGCCACAATCTGCCAACTTGCATTTTGCAAGCGAAACCAACTTGGCAACATTGCAAATCAAGTTTGAAAACAAATACATAACCAAACATTCTAAATACGCATTCAATACATAATAAATAACCCTTTCTATCGGTCAAAATTAATCCCATTATCCCAATAATGCGTTAGAACAGCACAACGATACGCAATCTAGTATTTCTGTACCCTACACGCATTCTCTATCTCATATTATATGATAAACATACATATATACACTACTTATGTACACTCATATTGCAAACATATGTTCAAACTTTCATTTTATAAGATATTTTAATTAAATTTTAAAATGTAACCTAAAACTGTACCTTACTTTTACCGGATATCGTATACAATTGGTAGGTTATCCTAGGTCATTGAAATCAAGACTTTCGCATGTTTTATTGATATCGTACGTATTGCATTATCGTGTCTGATCATTATACAAGTTATTTATGTGGAATAACAATGTAAAAATTATTCATATTGGAGCTAAAACAACTTTAATCATAACGTGTTAGAGATCAAAACATTGCTCTCGTAAAATGATGTTCTAAGCCGACAACGAACTTCTATGATTGTTGCAAACATGGCGACCGCTATCTGAGCTTCTCGAGCAGCCCGTGGACGCAAATTCATGTCACAAACCTAATACAAAACCGTGTAACGTAAGCAAAAAATATCCTAAAACAATTTCATCTAGACCTCACGAAACCGGCTGTAGCCGATGTCCTGACATTCTTAAAGCCTTGAATTTTTTTTAGCAGATTCCCTGCACTACAAAGAGCTGGAAAACCAGTATGGTTGCGTAAATTGCTATGATTTTCTGTTATAACTTACCTCTTCTGCAATGACTAGTTCCTTGTAATTCAGCTCCGGATATTTACTTTCGTTGCTTTCATCCAAATTTATAGTTAATCTCACTGTTTTGTTCACATTATTCTTTGCACTTTTAGGAGCACCCACTGTTATAAGAGTAGCACGTTTAGGGTCCGACATTTTCCACCAAATTCGTGTATAAAATGATTTTTTTCAAAGCATGACACGACCTGCATTTTCAAACTGTGTAGCACATTGCCACCATGTTGGTATTCATTGTTTGGGTTGTGAGCGCCCCGGAAGGAATGTGAACTAAATTCATTGTTGACAACATTTTCCGATAGATGACATCCCAAACTCATTACTTGACTCACAAGATGTCGTTACTACTGTAAGAATAATTCCAAAAAACTGTTCGGAACTGTATGAAATATTATTATCAATTAATGATTTTCGTATATTTGAATTAATGTTTCACAAATAATTGATATTAAAGGGTGAAATACTTGAAATTTTGTTGTTTGGGTTTAATGTTTCATAAATATTTTCATTACATGTTCTCTGGATTTTCAGTGTACGTAGTTCTTAGTAAATACAGTAGATGGCTCTTTCGCAGCGATGAAATCGCCATGTGTACTACTTTACCGACTTCCACAGATAATCAAATCACAACACCTTTGTTGTGAATATTTATTATATTAATTATATTCATAAATTAATGCATTTAAAAACTAACACATATATTCATAATCACACTAACATAAAAGAAATAATCAAAATAGTTGTGCGATTTAAGAGTACTTCTAACGCCATCTAGAAACACAAAAGATAACTTTACGTACCTACTAAAAGTTTTTAAAACTAGTCATATTTTTGTGACATAGAGGGCGTAAAATCAAATTTCAATCATTTTCATACTATAAACACCGTCATTGTAATTAGACATAGAGTACTTCTTTACTTTTTTTAGGGGGGAAGTCATCGAATGACTTCTCCCGCTAGGGTGAGGCGGGAGGGAGTGTCGGACTCTTACTGACTAAAAACCACCCCGTTCCTACTCCTGTACATCGAGCCGGAGCCCTGGTAACCCGTTAGGTTCTCCGAAGTATAGAATTCAGTTTAAGTATACGATATTTTTGAAAGTTTAGCGCAATGGATGGGCAACCGGCTGGCTGCTATTCAAGCGCCGCTGTTTCGATTATCTTTCTATTTTTTATTTTATTTTCCGCCATGATCATCGCACTGTGGAACAAATTACCTTCGATTCCCTTACGAAAATTCCCTAACTTTTGTGTGTTACCTATGTGAAATTAATCCACGACTCACGATCCCTACGTTCGATTCACGTTCACGAACTATGAGTTCTACAACACAGTGCTCACCAACATAGCAGATTTTTTTTAAATGGAAGTATGTAAGTAGTTCCCAATGTTTCTTGTCGTTTGTAATGTAAATCGTTTTATTTCATAATACAATAATTCTTATAGGTACTATGGTAGCAAAGAAGCCCAGTTTGCCTGCAACAACATGAGGTTCTCGTGGTTTGTTTTATCTTGTATATAGGTATACCTTCATACAAAACGTGCGATTTTTTTTATAAGTAGCCTTTGGATTGTGTCTATATGAATGTCAGAGATAAATAAAAGTTCAGAACGCCACTGGTAGATAAATTATATTGTTTACACCAAGACACACGAAATTATTATACAAAAGTTCAAGTTTAACAAAGTTCCGGCGCAGCATACCGTTATGCGAAGACTGGTTTTTATTCTTCAGAGAATAGCAATATGATACGACGCCCTACGCACACAGCCACGCACATGCATTTACATAGGTGTGTACGTGAGTGTCCCTACAGTAGCGAACAATTACTAGACCAGGAACCCCTAAACTAAGATAAGTGACACTTAACGAAATTTTGATTTTCACTAACCTATAAGTGACACCTAAAGGCAAAGGAAGAGGTTACTTATGGTAATTTTTCACGCTAAGTCTTGAGATGGTGGCCGGTGGGTGGTCTGTAAAAGCGGCCATTACTTAGGTACCTAGGTACTGGGCATTATATTACCAAAAAAGCATTCTTTTCGACAATGCCACAACTTGAACTAAGATAAACATTACATTTTCAATTCTGCACCCAATTACGGGGAGTCAATTCAAATTGAAACGAAGTGAGGTTATTAAAAAAATGAAGCAATCAGCAAAACTGGGGCGGTGGTCTTTAAGAAGGGTATTTTCGGAAAACGCTGATGACTTGGACATTATGAGACCAAGATTCCTATTAAGATACGAGACATTAGTCTCACTTTAGACCCGTTTGCACGAAGCTAGTGATCGCCCAATAAAAATATGGCGGGCAAGTTACTATACTAGTGTTGAATGCACCTGATAATAAATACAAGTTTCCTTTTCGTAGTGGGATTTTTTTTAAGGGGGGAAATACATCGAATGACTCCCGTCTGGGTGAGGCGGGAGGGAGTGTCAGACTCTTACTGTCTAAAAACCACCCCGTCTCTTCTCCTGCGCTTCGAGACGGAGCCCCGGTAACTCGTTAGTTAGGTTCTCCAAGACAAATCATTCGCATTTAATACACTTAAGATCACAGAATGTTATAACTGTAACAAAATTAACTGAAATCGAGGGTTACTCGCGTGAATATACCTACTGAGACTAGTTTCGAACCATAGACTAGTGTTTCAGTGAGCTGCACGATATCGTCGCGACCGCGCACTCTGCATGAGGAAGAACCCCTCTGTGGTTCGAAACTTGTACAGCTTTTCTCAGTATATTCACGTGAGTAATCCGTGATTTTAGTTAATTTAGTACCTATAGGCTCACGATAGATTATTATAAAAACTGTAACAAAAATCTGTCATTTGTACTTATTGGGTGTTTTATTGAGGTTTGTAAGAACTGTAAGTAGCACTAGACACATTTCTGCTGTTGTCACTGTGTATTTAATTTGGTGAGAAAGATTGGTGTTAAATGCGTGTGCGACCCTCCTTTAACGTTTTGTTAAAAAAATTCTTAAGCTCTTGTCTCGTTTTGTAAGAAGGGTGCGTGAAGTCGGTTTTATTTAGGGTGACTTATAAAATGCGGACCTAATAATAGACGGTAATAATATCAAGGTTTCAACTAAGTTTCGAAGCTAGAATAGGTAAGTTCCAATTTTGGAACTTATCTATAACTGCAAAGGAATTACACTGAAAATTAATTCCTTTATCTCAACACGCCAATCCCTTCACTACTCTACTCGCCTAACCACTAGCATGTTCAAACAGAGCACCAAGTAGATATTATTTCATGAATCCCGAGATATATGACCGCACTCTGAGGATATTATTCATTAGGGAAAATGAAATTTTGACCTCTACCGCCACGACGGTTTTAATGCCAAGCCGTCCCAATTTCCAAAAGCCACTTTTAACTGCTTTACCGACGTTTGGTATAGAGAGTGACCTATTAATTTGTGATTATATGATTTAATCCCTTTCATGTAGTCCCTTCGGGTCTATTGAATCGTCTGAGGTCCAAGTATTTCGGAGGAATTCGTGTATTTTTCGTTATAAGGAATATTTGAATTTATAGGTAAGGTAGGTAGGTATGCTTGGCATTTGCCAAGCATACCTAATATTATTCCCATTCATATTTATGAATGGGAATAATATTATTTTTGGTTTTTGCGGGATCTGTATAGGTTGGTGGGTAATCCGACCTTTTTGGTTAGGTAAGTAGGTAGTGATTCAAAACAAAAGAAAGTAAAAGAGGTCACGTACTGTCACTAGGTACGTGACCTTCGGCGCTTCCTTTTGTTTGAGAGCTGCGTTCCGAATACGACCATCATTATGGTTGCTTACCTTTATGCTATAATATGGCATTGTATACGACAGCTAGATTTTTTTGGATGGGTTAAGCCGGTAAACGAGCTGACGGATCACAATCACCTGATGCTGATGATGGTAAGTAATTATTTATTGTCTTTAAGGTTATTTTCTTTTTCGATCACTTTGACTAGATTTTAGTGTTACATTGTTCTCGCACAATCCAAACAGCAAACTATGTAACTAGAGAATTGTATTGCGAACCTGATTGAAACAGAGTAACCTATGGAGTTTCTTGCTCGTTCTTCTCCATAGGAATCTACACCTTGGAATGAGCAAATAGCTTCACTTTTAATTTTATTGTTGACGTTCAAAAGTGCCTTTCTGGTTAAATTGAAATAAATGATTTTGACTAGTGATTTGATGTATTTCAAACGTGTGTCTGTAGGAGTCATTGACTTGACCGATACGTTTTCTCAAATAGTCGAACAACCCGCATTTGGTTTGATAAATGTTAACGTAGATTAGCAGACATATTACTCAATAGTGTCAGTGAAGGATTTGTGGTCATGAACCATCAGATGCCTAATAATTTTTTCACCATTACCGTTTCATTATTAGGGATTCGAATTTACCTGTTCATAGTCCTCTGTCTGCTCTTTAATTACCTCCCCTTCGGAGAATTATTATTACCCAAAAATCTACCAACCTAATTGGTTCATGTTGTTGTAAATCAGTAGCAGCGCTACAGTCGCCGCGTTGTGGGTCGCGAAATGCTGCTCATGAATATGAGCCTCTAGCATGGCTTGAAACTAGTCGAGTTCGTCGTCAAATTATTACGTGAGTAAGCCAAAAACATAATAACCTAATTTGATTCTAAGAACTTTAACATAAAACCCCAGAATAGGGTAGATGACTAATTTTTATTTTAACTCGTCGAGTACCGGTTTTATAGACACAATTAAAGAACAATAGGTCGCGGTCACCGGTGACCGCTTGGTGTTTGACAGTTTAATGCCCGTCTGGTAGATTATTTTAAATCGTTAGATACATATTGTTTATATTCTTACAGAAACGAATACTTTTGACAATATATTGATTTGAAATGTCGCGTGACGTCACTTCTGTGTACGTACATTTTATACGTAGTAATCCCCTACTCCTAAACTTTGATTCGTTTTATCTAAGTATTGATTTGTTATACGACAAAATAAAAAAATACGGGTCTAATATTTTTTAATTACCTACCTAACTTACGGACTAATTAGATTTTTAAATTTTCATACCCCGTCATCATCCCCATTCTCAGATTTCCTTCAAACAATCAACCAAATTATAGAACAGAAATGTCTCATCCAATCTAAATAGAATACTAAAGGCACACATCTCTATTCACATCTCTATTCATATTACAAAACACAACCTACTTAGTAACGTACTTAAATACAAAATAATAGACAAAACGAATTCCTT